CTGGAACCAGTAGCGAAGCATGGTCTCTGAGATGGTGCCGTTTCGCGCTGTCGGGCCGTGCTGGCGCGTGTACTTGTTCATGGCCTTGGGCTGCAGGTCGAGGAGAGCGAAGGGCATGCGGGGATAGAATTCATCGGCGCGTGCGGCGAGGGGTTCGAACGGGCGACGGTCCCATAATAGAGTTGGTTTCTTTTGTCGGAAGAGGTGGTAGTTGTCGCGGACCATAGCCCATTCTTTGCGTGTGTTTTTCTTGACGACATCGAGACGTGCGTCGAATTCTGCTTCGGCGGCGTGGAACTGCTTGGGGGATTTCTTCCAGAGCTTGTTGAGGGCCTCTCGCTCCTGGAGGAGTTCGAGGAAGAGCTGCGAATCTACTGCATCGTACTTTTCGCGGTAGCGCAGCATTTTTAATCGGTACGATGCCTCTGAGGCGTCGTCTTCTGCGAACGCTGTTTCTAAACCTTCGAGTTCTTCACGGAAAGGTCGGTTGTGTCGGGGCGGATGAATGCCTGCGAGCTTCTTCTTGGCGAATTTTTGGTTGGCGCTGAGATTGTTGTACATGATGGTCTCGCGGCCCTTGGGCATCGTCAAGCCAGCTTCCTTCATGCGTTTGAGGCAGCTGTAGCCCGACTCCATGTTGATCCACTCATCGCGGAGCTCATAACGATCTTCGACTTCGACGTCATGGCCGCAGATTTCGTGGAGCCATTCGAGGGAGAGTTCTGCTTCGAAGGCGCTGCGTTTTCGACGGATGGCACTTCGTGGGAGGAGGCGCCGTTTGCCGTCGTCGGAGATCCATACTAGCATGCGCACGAGACCGTACTGCTGGAAGAGTGAGGCGGTGCGGATGCTGGCCATGAGCTGGTAGAGAACCATTGTGCTGACGCATTCGAATGATTGGTACCTCTTCGGTGGGCAGTAGCACAGGTTGACGTTGACGAGGAGTGTGTCATTGCGTTCGGGCTCGGCGGCGGGATCGCGGATGGTTTGGTGGGGGAGGGCTTCGAGGATGGAGTTTAGGTCTTTCCAGAGGATACCGGCTTTGGGGACGGCTTCGACGTTGGGTTTGTCGAGAAAGTCACCTAAAAATGGCCTGTAGACCTCAATATCGGGTTCCATAAGGATGTGTTTCCTGGGTTGGACGAGATCATGGAGAGTGCGACTCCAGAGGCCGGGGCCGGGGTTGATATCGACAATGTCGCATCCTTTATGGCGATCCAACGAAGGGCCGATGTATTGAGCAATATCGTCTACACAATAAGCTTCAAATCAACAAATTGATAGGAATCCATACCGCAGAGACTTTGGCTAACGAGGTTGGCGCGGTGCTTTTCACCTATAGGCGCTTTCGGGCGGCCAGCTTTATGAGTCCACTGCCATAGTCCTGTGTCTCGTAGGCGTTCGGAGAGTTCGTTTGAAGGCTCGAGTTGTTCGTTTGTGATCTTGTTAGAGGCGTGGCGGATTAGGGCGGGCGAAGGGCGGATGCGCCGTGGGAGCGATGAGCGAGCATTTTTTAAGGCGATGAACATGGGAATGTGTCTGGCGTTTGGGTGGTCATTGGGATGGTGGGATAGCTGGTGATGGGGATGAAATTATGTTTTTGCCGTGGGATACCGCTTGATAAGATGGATAAGATAAAGATAGTGGGGAATGGCGTCAGAGTGGTTAATAGACAGACTCTCCAATCGAGTTGAGCTTCTTATGACCATTCCTATATTTACTAAGATATATTTTCTCGAACCTCACCCCGTGGGGATTTAATTTCCCCTCTCTTGTTTCTTTTGTTGAATATCAAATTGCTTCTTCTAACGTTGAATATACGGCGACGACCAGTTGGAGGGCTGCACTCATCATGAAAGGTGTAAGTTATGATCAACCAGGAGCTCGAGGTTGCCGGCCAACTTCCCACTGAGTTTAGGATTGGCTGAATTAAATCTCGGGTACCTGGATTTTTTAGAACAACTCTAGCATCTGCCAAAAGTTTTGTTGTCCTTCGATTATGAAGCTGCAGTTTCTCAGTGACTCAATGAACTGGGCTTCTTAACTTGGTATAAGAGACCATCATCTTGACGTCTATTCAGGCAAATATGCAATTCCACCGTATTAGATGTTCCCTAAACTTCAAAGTTAGCTCGAGCAGAAATTTCTAAGAATTCCTTTACTCAAAAATTATTTTTCCTCGGGCCTTCACATGGCTAAGATTGATGCTTCACTTCAATTGTCATTCAATTACCCTGCACTTCGGCATTCAAACATCCAACGCTAACCCCAATCTGTACAGCTCTCCCACCATCATCATTCACGACATCTGCAAGGGTTTGCTCTCCCTGGACCTGTACTCAGGATCGTATATATATCAACATTCATTTCATTTACCCACACACCATGTTCCCAAGTCAAGCCAAGCTACGAGATAAATAAAAACTCCACAAGACGCCGCCATGCTAAGACATAATCCTGTAAACTCGCTACCTCCCTTGTGTTATATATCTGCCTGTCTCCCCTATCATGCGCCCTCGCTTCCAAACTCATTGGTCCACTCAATCTGCCTTGCAATATCATCCTTGGAAACAGTCGGGTGCGAATCGTCAAGCGCCATCTCGAAATCCTTCAGCGCAACATCTGGTGCAAGTAGCTCGTCGGATGAGACGTCGTCATATGTCATCTCGATCTTTTCCGGGTCGCCTGGCGAGCAGGGCGTCAACATGCGCTTGCCGTCTTTCATAACCTGCATTCGTTAGTCAAGATCCAACTCTACTCGAGAGAAACTTACAGGTTTGAAGTGCGTGGCTTGCAGAATCTTGCGGACTGGTCGCATAAGGGCAGATTGAACAACGTTGGCGATATCGCTACCAGACATTCCATCCGACTTGGCTGCAAGGATATTGTAGTCGCTCGCCTGGAGTGAGGTCTCAGTATCGCCGATGGCTAGCTTGAACATGCGCGCGCGGCCATTCATGTCGGGAAGACCAATATGCACACGGCGCTGGAAACGTCGGCGAATAGCAGCGTCTAATTGCCAGGGAATATTGGTGGCGCCCAGGACCAGAATACCCTTGCTATCGTTGCCTACACCGTCCATCTGAACAAGTATCTCGGTCTTTATACGACGTGAAGCCTCGGATTCGCCTTCACCTCTTGGGCCGCACAGGGCATCGATCTCGTCGATGAAGATAACTGAGGGCTTGTTTTCGCGCGCCATGGAGAAGAGGAGCTTCACGAGTCTGGAGGGGTTAGATATGGTACCAAATGACTGCAGGGAACGTACCTTTCACTTTCACCCATCCATTTGCTGACCAAGTCGGAACTGCTGATACTGAAAAAGGTGCTGTTTGCTTCTGTCGCTACAGCCTTGGCGAGGTAACTTTTACCCGTTCCTGGAGGTCCGTACAGCAGAATACCCTTCCATGCCTGTCGCTTGCCCTGGAACAGACTGGGGAACTTGATGGGGAGAACAACAGCCTCCTTCAACGTCTCCTTCGCACCCTCAAGACCAGCGATATCCTCCCACCGCACGTTGGGCCTCTCCTGGAGAATAGCACCGGACAGCGCGTTGCGCAACTTCTTGCTATCGTCGTCCTCACCAGCCTGCGGCTTCCCCTTGCCAGTTGAGCTGCCGTTAGCGCCCATGATGGCCTTTCCGCCGCCGTTTGCGTTCTCGTTCTCGGCGGCGAGGAATTGCTTGAGCTTTTCTGCGCGGTCGAGGTACGTCGCCATCTTCTCCTGCATGGTGACTTTGAGGGCCTTGTTCTTCTCCCACTTGAGCGCCTTGACCCAGAGCTCCATGGAGGACATGTATAGGTCGAAGGCTTTTTGGTACTCCTTGTTGTGGTCGGCTGTGATCGCCTTCTGCACCTCTGCGATGGCGCGATCGCGGAAGTTGGTCGACATGGTGACGTTGTTTGGGGTCGATGAACGTGGGGGGAGGGGGTGACGAGACTCGAGGCTCCCAGAGGAGTAAAGGGATGTCGAAGAGAGGATCGAGGAGGGAACAAACAGAACCTCGAGACGTTAAAGTCGTTATAAGATAGTGGATGGTGATGAGGCAACAGTGCAGCAGCAAGCAAGCAAGACAGTAGGTACAAACGGACAGGTACAGGCTGTGGATTGAATTGGCGGGGAAACATCAAGATCCACGGTTGGATTGGATTGATTGAGCGCAATGCTTATAGCGGGGCAGAGAGGGGCTGCACAACCTTTACCTCGACCTTCTCGACCTCTGCCTTGGCGATTTAGGCGACAGCTACAGTACACTCCAAAAAAGACGAATCAGAAATAGGCAGGAGATTTTTTTATCTGCTTAGTGATAATTTACCGCTTTTTACATCATCATGTCTGATCCCCAAGCACGGTTACAGGCGCTGTCTGAGGACTTCCAGAAGCTTCAAGGCGGTATGTTTGGGTACATTTGGAGGGGGAATTATGCTGATTGGGAGTAGAACTTCAGAACGCTGTGGCGTCGCGACAGAAGCTGGAGGGTCAGAAGCAGGAGAATGTTGGTGTGCAGCAAGTAAGTATTGTTCAGAGACGTCGCATGCATGGGCTAATGAGCATCAGGAATTTGAACGACTACAAGAGGGAGAGACAATCTACAAACTCGCTGGGCCAGTGTTGCTCAAGCAAGACAAGTTTGAGGCCGAGAACACAGTCAAGGGTCGTCTGGACTTTATCAGTAGTGAGATGTAAGTGTTCTTCCCCTCACTACATGCCGCATGCTAATATCCTCAGCACACGACTAGAAGACACAATCAAGGAGACACAAGAGAAGCTTGAGAAGAAAAAGACAGAGATCATTCAGATCCAGACTGCAGCTCAAAGCCAGGGCAAAGAAGCACCCCAGTAATGACAAGAGAGATGAACAAAAAATAGATCATGAGTTGAGTTATATTCTACAGTACGCGGATTATGATAATGCAAATACCTGGCACTTTATGAGCGCCGCGCTAATCGGAGAGTCCCTTAAAAACGCCAGTCGTCAAGTTTGAAGTTCGTGATGTGGTTTAGTTGATCGCCATGATGCTGAAGCCCCACGGAACGCCCATGTTCTTGTGGTCTTGAGCTGCGCTGGGGGAGAACATAAAGTCTTGCTTGTCATCTGCAGCAACGGGCTGAGGTGTCACAGCGTCTTCGTCTGCATCAATAGCAGAGAGGATAGCTTCAGCAACGTCGCTCTTCCGAGTACAGTTCTCAAACACAGCATCGCCCTCAATGAGACTCTGCATCAATGCGCGCTGATCACTCTCCGTGAAGAGCTGCACCTCACGGTTAAGAACGCCATAAGTGACCTTCTCGCCAGTCTGAGCCAAGCGCTGGAAAATTACAGTGAAGGCAGCGATGGCCTGTGCGAGAATACGGGCTTTTTGCTTGGAGCTTAGGTGGGCAAAGATCTCGGAGTCTTCTTCAAGGGCGGATTGGGTGTTGGTGTCGAAGATGGACTGGAGGATGCGGTGCAGGATGTTGCGGCATGTTAGGTCGAGATCGGCGCTGACGTTGAGCTCGAAGACTGAGGAGATGTTGCGGAGAATGCTGGAGAGGGCGTCGAGAGGGCAGAGGTCGTTGGGGAGGGTGACGTGCCCTTGGTCAATTGTGAAGATGTCAATTGCGGCGTTGACAGCAGCTGGGGATGTTAGTTGAGGCTTTGAGAGGTGGTGAGGGTTGTTTACTTCTGCGGGTGGTGTCGATGTCGATCTCGACACTTGAGACAATAGAGTTGTTCTTGATGGCTTCCATTTTGAGATGTAAGTGAGTGAGTGATATGAGTGGTATAAGAGGTATAATGAGCTTGAATTGAGATATTATGCTAGACTTTACAACCGTCAAGACCTGGGGGATACGCCGGCTTTTAAACTCATCAGCCCCTTACAAAAATTCTTTCCAGGAGATGCCCAACTCGTTGAGGATACGGCATAGTATCCTGGCAGCCTCAATAACAAAGGCGCTCATGGCCACACCGTGGTCAATGCCCCCCTTACCTGAGGTGTCATGGGCGTGGATAGATGGGCCGATAACCGTCTTCACCGTGGGGTGTATTTGGCCGACACGACATGGTGGCGGCATGATCATGATGAAGCCGAGATATGATGGGAAGTTTGGGGGCAGACCAAGAGATAGCTTTCTCTTGGCAGATATATCACATTCTATACTTCATGATGAGATCTTGCCTGATCAAGCACTCTCTAAGCATGAGCATCTCTCTTCCGTCGTCTGTCTTGTTGCCTCTTCTGGAAGTATCTCGTCAAGGATCATGACCCGGTTTCCCCGAACCTAAACCTTGATTGCTGGGGATTTTTGCTGGCGAATTCTCCCGATGTCGAGAGAGAACAAGCCGGAAGATATCGGGATACAAGGACAAGTGCTCGAGTTACTGAGGAAACTTCCAAGGAATATCCGACTCGGTGAGACGGCGTGGGGATTGCATTGCAGATGGGAGATGGAATTGTACGATTCACAGGAACTAAACACGCCATCTACTCCATGATTCGAGAAGTGGCTGCAGCGCCACAGATATGAGGCTGATGTTTCAGAATTTCGGCTTACTTGCATATTCCTATGTTTTGGAATCAACATCGGGTAAATGAATTCCCCGCCATTGGGCATGGAGGGGCTAGAGGGGCAATCAATCAAGGTACCGAACAACGGGCGCGTCGTCACAGGACCCGTCTTTCTCAATGATTCCATCACCAGGCAGGCAGCTCTAAAACGTTGGACTGTTTTGAGTAACAAGCCACGCGGCGCCCGACCATGAACTGGATATAACCCTCGACGACTCTAACACAGTCATTTCCAGCTCAATAAAGTCCATACTCGTCTTTTGTATTCCGCCATGGACTCGAGGATTGCCATGAGGCCGACCACGCCGCAGACCGTCAAGGAGCTGGTGGCTCAGGCGGAGAACTTCAAGTTTAACACAAACATTCCGGTTAAGCACTGGACACGTGCAGCTGAGACGCTGTACCAAGAGGTTTGTTACATATGCCATCTGCATCTTTGTTTGTGCGCAGCTAACGGTGTAGGCGTCGTTTGCAGTCTCGGATGGCGATTTCGGAAGAGCTTACATGATGCTGTATCGACACTCCGTACTGGTCCTCCAGTACATCCCGACACATCCACAGTTCAAAGACCCCGAGAATAAAAAGGTGTACAAAACGCTATCGCGACGCATACCACGTGTCATCCAAGACCTAGAACAGTTGAAGCCCGAGATCGAAAATGCCGTCAAAGAATGGGAGCGAATGGCGCTGTCGTCAAAAACGAATGCCGGGCCCGAACCGTCGTCACAATACGAACAGTTTGCAGCGCGCGATCCGAGTCTCACGGGCAATGCGAAGATCCTGGATGCGTTTGACAACCAGGACCTGGCTGTTGATCTTGCGCAGAAGGAATTGATGAGGAGGGATACTGCGAGGAGGGCTACGAGACAGGCGGGGATTACGGATGAGGATATCATGTCGAGAAGAAGAGGCGGGAGGTGGGATCAGTGGGACGGGGCGAGGATGGGCGATGATGAGGATCTGAGGCGGCAGATGGAGGCGACGAGGCATGCTCTTGACTCGGCGCAGGAGAGACGGACTGATGATGACTACCGACCGACGTCGCATACGTACAGTTACCCATCGATCTCGAGACCAAGAGCCGTTGACTACGAGGGCCAGACTCCAATACCTTCAATACAGCCGAGTCGACCACCGAAAGAACCGGTCGCTCCACCGCCAAAAGAACCTCTTCACACACCATCATTACAAGGTCTCCCACCAGCTCTTCCTCAAAAAGTCCCTCTACCAGGCTACGCACCTCTCATCCCCTCACCATCCCCCCAACCCGCCCGTCCCGAAGTCCCCCGCAAAGAAGCCCTCGACACCCCGCCAGCACTCCCCCAAAAAGAGCGTCTCACCTTTAAACCAGGCGCATACCTCGAGAACGGCGACCCAATACGCTCGCTCTTCCTCCCAAAGAACCTGCGCCAGAAATTCCTCGACATTGCAGCGGACAACACCCGTCGCGGGCTAGAAATGTGCGGAATGCTGTGCGGAACACCGATCAACAACGCGCTGTTCGTGCGGTGTCTCTTGATCCCGGACCAGAAGTGCACGTCGGATACGTGTGAGACGGAGAACGAGGAGGTCATGTTTGACTACTGCATGAAGGAGGATTTGTTGCTGCTGGGGTGGATTCACACGCATCCGACACAGACGTGTTTTATGAGCTCGAGGGATTTGCACACGCATGCTGGGTATCAGGTTATGATGCCTGAGAGCGTTGCGATTGTATGCGCGCCCAAGTTCCAGCCATCGTAAGTCACGCGATCAAATTGAGTTGAAGAAGACACTGACACTTTTTTAGGTATGGCATCTTTCGATTGACGCACCCGCCGGGGCTGGACCATATTCTCAATTGTAACCATCAGGATACGTTTCATCAGCACTCGATTGACAATATTTACCGGGGCGCGGGACAGCCGAAGGGTCATGTATATGAGAGCGATAAGCTGGACTTTTATGTACACGACCTAAGGACGAAATAGAACATGCGTAGGTACAATAGAGCGTGCATAGCATAAGGTACTTACATAGCAATGGAGTTATGTGAAGGCGTACAAACAGTGTCACAAGCCGTTATTGCACAACCTCCAGTGTCTGATTTTGGCGAGAGCTGCATTTGAGGCCTGGGGTATTTTCCGCACCTCCACCACAGCGAAAGGATCAATAAAGTGTCTCCCTACCGCACAGTGCAAGCGTCACAGTGTTATAACTTGTGCGATGCAGATCTGCACCCTGCCCAAAGTGGACATTGGGTCGATCTTTATCCCGCTGTGGAGAAACAGATCTAGGGATTAAGATTGGATCTTGGGAGGAGTGGGGACGTTTCTCTTGGGCTGGGGACGATCCGATAATGAGGAGGTCGAAAAGGGTGCGGGATTGACGTTAGGGGTAGGGATCGGCGAGCTGAAAATGGGAGCTTGGGTGAGGGACCGGGTGAGTGGTTGAGGGATCGGCGAGGACTGGGAGAGAGAGGGGAGAGGGTATTGTCTTGCAAATGAGCTGATGCAATTGCGTTGTCTCAAAGGGCTTCGTCAACATTGAAACTTGTCTCAAGGCTGATCCAGTCTACAGGAGGCAAAGGGACACAAAGACTAGTGCAATCTACGGTAATCTCAGGATGCCCTTTGTCAGGGTTAATTTGACATCCTGTAGCCGGTGTCTATAGTAGAGTCAAGTAAGGGAACAGTATCAAGACAATATGTATCAATAATCAATCTCAGCCCTCCAAACAGAATAAACCACGTCATTTTGTCTCTCCCACCACCTGCACAGACCGCACTCTTTTCCCAAAGAGGACTTTCAGCTCTGCATAAGCGACCACTCACACCGTGCTGATTATCAAGTGTCTCAGTTGAAGGGGACCACGCTAAAAAAGCTTAGGGCCAGATTTTGTGAGTGCCGTGGTCGATCAGCCCTGTTAGTTCTGCCGTATTGGGACGGGCTCAGCTTAGCCCGGGTCGGTCCGCTATCGATTGGGCTTTGTACCTAATTTATTTGGTCGGCCTTTTGGTAGCTGTAAGCTTGAGAGTGAGCTTGGGAAGAAAGTAGTGGTGTGAATTGGAGGGGGCTGAAGCCACGACATCATGCGAGCGTCAGTTCTCTTATGAGGAGAGATTGCAGTATTGATTCGGTTAACGTGGGTGCATGTGCACTGACATTGTGTCTCGGAAGCAAGACAAAGATCTCAGACATGGCGGAGAGATCTACTGTGCCCTCACTTACAAATCGTCTCGCTGCCAGTGGCGCTGTAGATCCATGGATCTCCAAGGGTGATAGACCTTCTTCTGGAGCTAAGGGGGTGTCCGGCTCCGCGTAGGTCTTGTTCCACGACATCTGGTTTGTCAATCTCTGTGTTTATTGGCTTCTGGGGTGAGCGGAGGTTTGGAATGCCGTGTCGTGGGAGCTCTGTACTGTGCAGCTTGCATGTGCTCGAGAGAAGAGACAAGATAAAGAGGCGTACGTCCACCCTCCCAGCTCCTCTCTTTCCCCGCTCCCAAGTTTCTTACTGCTCCTCACTATCTGGTGTTTTGTTTTGAAGCTTCGAATCTAGTGCTTCTTGTTTTGAAGCTTGAGCTATAGCAATCATGGCGGAACAGAAGAACGGGGTAGCTACAAACGGCTACGAGAAGAACGCCTCTCCTGCTTCGACGTCTACCAAACACGAAGCTAAGCCTCTTCCCAATGGCGATAAGAAAGATGGTATCGTCAAGAGCTTCAAGCAACTCCGTGTCGCGAGTAAACGACCGCTCCCGAAAGAGATGGGCGATGGGTCGTATCGCGTCGTGGAGAAAAGACCGGGTTTGAAGGAGGACATTCGTCGTCTTCGTGGAAGAGGTATGTTCACAAGCTCTCCCTACGTGTGAGACGGGTAGAGTGTTTGGTGAGTGAAGCTGACCAAAGTAGACCTCAAGACACTGCTCGAGATCGTCAAGGCCAAAGTCAAGGGTGAAACTCAGCAGGATGACAAGACCATGATCATGGAGCGCACGATTCAGCTCGTTGCTAATCTGAGCGATCACTCCAAGGTTCAGGAGTCTTTGACGAATAGTTTCATCTCGCAGCTTTGGAACTCGATTGATCACCCGCCTATGCTGTACATGGGAGACAAGTTTCGGTTCCGACAACCTGATGGATCCAACAATGTAAGTCTACGCTCTCTTTATCCACTGACTGGGTTGAGGTTTGGGACTGACGGTGTAGAACCCGTATCTTCCTCAATTGGGCGCCGCGAGAACTCCCTACTCTAGAACTGTCCGCCCAAAGGGCATGAGTCTCGGTGCGCAGCCTGATCCCGAGGCTATCTTCGAGAGTGTCTTTGCGAGAGATGCTTTCAGAAAGAACCCGAATAACGTGTCGAGTATTCTTTGGTACTGGGCCACTATCATCATTCACGGTAAGCTCCCCCATTCACCTCGTGTCTCGTCAGTTGACTAACATGCGTAGACCTCTTCTGGACAAACCTCCAAGACCCTAACCAGAACGACTCCTCCTCCTATCTCGACCTCGCCCCTCTCTACGGCTCAACCGAAAAAGACCGTGACTCAATCAGAACCTTCAAAGACGGTCAATTGAAGCCTGATTGTTTCGCTGATAAGCGTCTCATCGGTAATCCACCCGGTGTCCCCATCCTTCTCATCATGTTCAACCGCTTTCACAACCATGTCGCCACAAACCTTGCAGACATCAACGAGGGCGGCCGCTTCTCCAAACCAGCTGAGCATCTCTCGCCTGAAGCTGCAGAAGCTGCTTGGAAGAAGCGCGACACAGAGCTCTTTGAAACAGCGAGACTTGTCACGAGCGGGCTGTATATCAACATCACGCTCATTGACTACGTGAGAAACATCATCAATCTGAACAGGGTTGACACGACGTGGACTCTTGATCCGAGACAGGAAATGGGTGTCAGTGTTGGTACGAAGGATCTGTCCGAGAGCGGCACTGGAAACGTCGTCTCTGCTGAGTTCAACCTTTGCTATCGCTGGCACTCATGTCTCTCAGAGATGGACGACAAGTGGGTTCAGGATTTCTACACTCAGCTTCTTGGCGAGAACTACGGGCCTATGAATCTCCAGACCATGATGAAGGCGCTCAAAGCGTTCGAGGCCAGTGTCGCTGATGAGCCGAGTGAGAGAACCTTTGGTGGCTTCAAGAGAGGTCCTGATGGCAAGTTCAACGATGATGAGCTCGTTGAGGCACTGGCTACGGCTATTGAACAGCCTGGCGGTGCATTTGGTGGACGCAATGTCCCTCGCATCATGAAGCCCATTGAGATGTTGGGTATCATGCGTGGTAGGAAGTGGAACTTGGCTGGGTTGAACGAGTTCAGGAAGCATTTCGGCTTAAAGGCGTATGAGACATTTGAGGACATCAACTCTGATCCCTCTGTCGCTGATGCTCTGCGCAACCTGTATCAACACCCTGATTACGTCGAGTTGTATCCCGGCATCGTCGCCGAGGAGGCAAAGACTCCCATGGTTCCAGGTGTTGGCATCGCCCCAACGTACACCATCTCTCGCGTCGTCCTCTCCGATGCCGTTGCGCTGGTCAGAGGTGATAGGTACTACACCACCGATTACAACCCCCGCCATCTGACGAACTGGGGCTACAAGGAAGTCGACTACGATCTCAATGTCAACCACGGCTGCGTCTTCTACAAGCTCTTCCTGCGTGCATTCCCCCAGCACTTCAAGGGCAACTCCGTCTACGCCCACTACCCAATGGTCATCCCCTCCGAGAACAAAAAGATCCTCACAAACATCAAGCGCGCAGACCGCTTCGACTTCTCCCGTCCCGAACCCACAGCCACGCGCATCAACATCGTCGGGTACAACGCGGCAAAGTACATCCTCGAAGACCAGAAGAAGTACCGTGTCTGCTGGGAAGAAGGCCTCAAGCACCTCATGGGCGAAGCAGGCGGCCGCTTCATGCTGTCGGGTGACACGGCGCTACACGCCCAGCAGCGCAAGTGCATGGGTAAGCTCTTATACAACGACACGTGGCGCAATGCGGTGAAGTCGTTTTATGCGACGACCGCTGAGAAGTTACTCGCTGAGAAGTCGTATAAGCTTGCGGGGAAGACGCAGGTTGATGTCGTACGAGACGTGGGTAACGTTGCGCACACGCATTTCGTCGCGAGGATGTTTAACCTGCCCCTTAAGACGAGCGAGAATCCCAAGGGTGTATTCTCGGAGCAGGAGCTGTACATGATTCTTGCTGTGATCTTTGTGTGTATCTTCTTTGACATTGATCCAGCCAAAAGTTTCCCTCTTAGACAGGGTGCGCGAGAGGTTGCACAAAAACTCGGCGGTATCATTGAGATGAATGTCAAGTTGGCGAACAGCATTGGTGTCAAGGGGTTGTTTACTAGCAAGCCTGATAAGAATGATGATCCGCTGGCGAGGTATGGTGAGAACATGGCCAAGGGATTGAAGAAGGCAGGTTTGAGCACAGAGGATATTGTCTGGAGTCAGATCCTGCCTACGGCGGGTGCTATGGTGCCCAACCAGGCTCAAGTGGTAAGTCAAAACTCCCCTCCTCTTCAATTGAGCAAGTGAGTGCTAACGAGTGTAGTTTGCGCAAACACTGGATTGGTATCTCTCACCAGCAGGTGACAAGTACCGCCCCGAACTAGCCCGCATCGCCGCCCTCGAAACAGGCGACGAGACAGACGCTCTCCTCCTCGGCTACGCAATGGAAGGCATCCGCATGGCCGGAACATTCGGTCTCTACCGCGAAGCCACAGGCCCCGACACGATCCACGAAGACGACGGCCGCAGCATCCCCGTCAACGCCGGCGACCGCGTCTTCGTCTCCTTCGTCCAAGCAGCCCAGGACCCCAAGATCTTCCCCAACCCCGGCGTCGTGGACCCGAAGCGTCCGCTGGACAAGTACATCCACTACGGCGTCGGCCCGCACGCCTGTCTGGGGAGGGATATCAGCCAGGTTGCGCTCACGGAGCTGTTTAGGGCCGTGTTTAGGAAGAAGGGTGTTAGGAGAGTGCCTGGTGCGCAGGGCGAGTTGAAGAAGGTTCCGAGACCGGGTGGTTTCTTTGTTTATATGACGGAGGATTGGGGAAGTATTTGGCCGTTCCCTACTAGCATGAAGATTACCTGGGATGAGTAGGTAACTGGGAGGAGAAGTGATGTAATGGTGGATGTAGGTAATGAGTAGATTGTAATCAATTCTCTTTGTTCATGCTCTAAAGTGGCTGTCGCACTGATCTTCTACCCTTCTGTTCAAGCATCGCTCTGTTCCTTGGTGTAAGTGAGACAGGTCCAACTTACACGAACGTCTCCACCCACGCTGACAAAAGTCACCAACCAGCCTCACAGTTCTTCACAACTCACCACTGACTATTCCTTTATGTCACTGAAACGTAGCACCGGCGCCAATCACAGCCCCTTCCACTCATCCCCCCCTAAAACAATGCCGAGCTTCCGACTCCAACCCCTGCAGATCCGCATTAATTGGCCGCAAGCAGTTCGTTTCACATCTCATCTGTTTCACCATTTGTTTGCCTGCGCCTCGACGTGGAATGCCATTGGGTAACATGGCTAAGGATCGTTTCTACACGAATTGTGCCTGGGAAAATGTATTTAGAGGCGACTTGTTCCCTGAATCTGTGTCTGTTCTTGGCATCCTTATTCACTCCCATTGATTGTGAGGCCATTCACTCCTTTTCTCTTTTTTCTGTTCGTGATACCTTGTGTTTCACTCTCGTTCTTTTGGCGGTTAACAAGTCCCTGGTGGATTTTTACTTAAACACTCGTTCTTTTAGATCATTCCCTCGACTCAACATCAATCAAGTCTTGACGCTGCAACATTCATCACTATGAAGTTCACTACTGTCTCTCTCATCGCCTCTTTGGCCTCTCTTTCAGCAGCTTCACTGTCTGCAGTCCCCATCATCGAAGCCATCGCCCCCAAATCAAAAGTCTGTCCCACCGGCAACAAAGAATGCCGCACAGCTACACAAGCAGCCCCCTACATCATCTCCAGCTTCCAGAGCCAGGGAATCTACTCCCCCGCTGAAATCGCCGCTGTTCTGGCTCTCATGGCCTTTGAGTCTGGAGACTTCGAGTACAAGCGGAACCACTACCCTGGACGTCCAGGTCAAGGCACTGCGAATATGCAGATGCCCAACTACAACCTGCTCTACGCCAAGAGTATTCCCGAGCTGGCCAAGGGATGGCAGGGCATTGAGAGTGTGGAGGGACTCTCGGATCAGGAGCTGGGGGATTTGTTGGATGATGTCACGGTTGATAAGTACAACTTTGGAAGTGGTCCTTGGTTCTTGAGGACTCAGTGCAAGGATGATGTTCGACAGGCATTCAAGACGGATGTTGATACGGGCTTCCAGAAGTACATTGAGGAGTGTGTTGGAACGGATCTCCAGCCGCGGTTGGAGTACTTTCAGCGTGCCAAGACGGCGTTTGGTTTGTAGTTGGTTCATGCGGTCTGTTTTTCATTCTGTAACTGGGGTTTGTGGTATGATGACCTGCTATGGAAGTCTTACTATTCAACTCATTAGAAAGGCTGGATGGCGTCTCGCAAGGTTGAAAGCAAAGGGGAGAAATAGAACAAAAAAAGACAAACGTTCATTCTGCAAGAGTTGGTGTCTCCAAGTCAGGTTCATTGAGGGTTATGGATAAGCTGATGCCCTTGTTTTCGAATTGACTGTTCGTTTTCTCTATATCTCATACCGGTCCAACTTGTCATGCACAGGCCTATAAACAAAATAATCAAACTGCGCCTCCTTCGCAAGCCCATTAACATCCGAACACGCCATCCCCACAAACGCACCCGTGAAGCTTCCATCCTTAGGATGTCCTCCACACTCATCTGACAAGATCGAAGCATCATAAACAGGCCCAATCTCCTTCAGCTCCTGCCCCTCAAGAGCATAGTAAAACTGAAGCGTGCTTCCCGCGCGAACACTAACCGCAAGTCGAACCTTGCCCTCGTTGGGGATTTCAACAGGCTCGGCAAAGGGACGCTCTAGACGGCCTATCGGGAATGACTCTTCTGAAGAGATGATCTGGAGCTCGCGCTGGCCGGCGGCGGTGGCGGTCACGGTTAGGTAGAAGAAGTTGAAGCGGCAGTAGTAGGCTGTTAGACCGGCGAATTGGCGCTCGTCGTCGGGGGAGTAGGTTATCACTGTTTCGGCGTCGTAGGAGAAGTGTGTTTGGCGACGTGCGACGAGGGCTTGTTCGAACCATGAACCGACGGACTCTCGACCGACGAGGCTGAGCTGGTTATTCTTGATGGTGAAGATGCGCTCGGGTTCAGGTGTTCGTAGCCATTGGAAGTCGATGTGGAGTTTGTCGGTAAAGGTATACCGCTTTTCTTTCCAGTATTCTGTGTCGTCGCGCGCAGCGGGGAGATCAACGTGAAGACTTGGGACGGGGCCGTTCTTGATGTACAGCCAGTCGTCATCGCCCCAGTAAGCTTCTTGGATAGCTGTCTCTCGACCCAAGACTGAACGTCGCTTTTGAGTAACAGGGCGGCCGGTTAGATGCACGATGTAGGTCTTGCCATCGGGTGTATCTACGATATCGGCGTGTCCAGCTCTTTGGAGCGCTGCGTTGGGTGCATCTTTTGAAGTGACGACGTGCTTCTGAGGATGGACTTCATAGGGACCCCAGATACTGCGTGATCGTGCTAGGGTCATGGCGTGGGTATAGCCTGTGCCACCCTCTGCTGTAGAGAGGTAATACCACCCATTGCGCTTATACAAATGTGATCCCTCAACATAAGCCAGGTCTGTACCTTTGAAGATGTTCTTTTTCGGTCCCACGAGTTTACCCTGCTTGGGGTCAAACTCTTGAAGAAAGATACCAGAGAATAGATGAGGTCGAGCGCGGTGATCCCATGTCATGTTGTTGAACCACTTGCGGCCGTCATCATCATGAAACAGCGATGGATCAAAGCCAGAGGAATTAGCGTACACAGGGTCACTCCACGGCCCCTCGATGGCAGGCGCAGTGATGATGTAATTATGCGCATCCTTGAAGGAACCGTCCTTGCGCTTGACGTCCGTGTACACGAGCCAGAACTTGTCTCCATCGTGCGTCAGGCACGGCGCCCAGACACCGCAGCTATCAGGCTCACCACGCATGTCGAGCTGACTCTTGCGGTTCACTGGACGCACGATGAGAGTCCAGTTGGCGAGATCTTTGGAGTGATGGATCTGAACACCGGGGAACCACTCAAAGGTGGATGTAGCGATGTAATAGTCATCGCCGACGCGGCAGATTGACGGGTCGGGATTGAAGCCCGGAAGAATAGGGTTTGTGACCTGTGGCATTTTGACTGATGCGATGAGATTGAGGCGAGAAGTAGGTACTGTCGTGAATGAGTGGTGACTTTTTATAATTGCTGGTCTGTCGTGATGGCTGTCATTGCATTTAGCCTGAATGCAACCGCGGGGAACTCAGCTCACCCACCATTCACTATCATGAGGTTACGATGGGGCCTCAGTGCCGATCGCCGTACAACATTTCCCGGCTTGGCAGCGGTAAGAAAACCACTCAGTTCTCCATGACCATGTCGCCCGTGATGTCCATACTTCCAGGGAAACTCTCCCAGAAGCCCTGCGTCGCGTCAGCGAACGTCGCGTACATGTTGCTGCCGAATGCAAAGTCCGTGTCGAACAGGTCAATGTCTGCGGGCGCGATGAAGGAAAAGTCGACGTTTGACGAGGTCTGGTCGTTTTCGCCGTCTGTAGCGCTCTGGGAATTGTTAGCGAATTGATATGAGAGCGATGGGGTGAAGTACTTGTTCGTCGGTGCTCTCTGTGTCGGGTTGACGGACGGGATCGGGCTGGAGAGCGCCATAGTCGATGATTGCGTTGCGCATTTCTCGTCTCTCGCTGGGCGTTACTGCGAGATCGCCGTCGGTCTTGATGTTGCTGTAGAATATCTGCATCGCCTTGATCTTCTCGCGCTGTGATCCGTCAGTACAGTTACTGACATGGGCCGGGCAACTTACCCAGGTGTCAGCCATCGGCCAAGCTTGTCGCATGTCTTTGAGGAACAAGAGACCCTCGACGATATGCTCCCTTCGCTTCTCAACTTGATGCGCCGTGTCACCGGGATTAGGGAAGTGGTAAAAGTACAGCATCGTTCCCACTGCTGTGTAAATAGTGAAGCCGATCCATGGAACGAGACCGCGTAGGAAGTACAGGCCAAATGCGCGGATCTCTTGCAGCATGTCGCACACCTGCTCAGCGACCTTCTCGAGCTCTTTGCTTGACCATGTTGACCACTGATCCCAATCCTTATCACCAACTCTGGCCTTCTGCATCTCAACTTCGGGGAGATAAGACCGATAGAGAAAAATGACGCTCATGAAGTAGATGCAGTGCATGTAGCAGTATGCCTGGCCTTGGTTAGACACGCTGTGCGCTCGTAGGAGGAAGAGTTCGTATCGTAGTCGTTCGGGCAGCGAATTCTTCCAGAGTTCAAGTCGGGAGAGCAGCATCTGGAACTCGGACTGAGGCTGCCATGGTGGTACAGTGTTGTCGTGCCGTGTACAAGCCCATTTGGCGACGGCGCCCCAGACATCAGCAACACGCATGCTGTTGGCCACGATGCCTAGACTGCCGTGGACAGTGCCCATGGCCCCATCCGGCATTGAGCCATCCAGTCTTTCACACAGGACGATTTGGCCAAAGTTGAAGCTATCCGACTCACATGGGAGTTGGATCCGCATCTTATCACCCGACAGCATCCTGTCGCGACCCTTTCCTCCACTGAGGAGGCTGTCCATGAGGAAGCATGTCCAGGCAGTGCGACGCCTCTCTTCAGCGTCGATAAAGTCCTCTCGAGTTGTCGCTGGTGGCGGTTCTTCAAATAAACCGAGGACTTGTGCCATGCGCACCGCCATGCCGAGATAAACCCATGCTCTTCTGCCCTCACCGGCGCCCCACGAATGTCCGGTCAGCATGAGAAGAACCTGAGCGCGATGGACTGTAGGTTGGTCCACAAGTGACAGAACTAGCGATCGCGCATGAGCAGCGAATGTATTGCTTGCTTCAACCTGTGTCGCATACCCCGGCGGTGCAGCCTGTGAGAACCTGCTCCATGTGAGTGAGATGATAAGCGAAGGAATCATATGCCGCACCTCACAGTGATAGCCAGCATCGCCCAGACCAGCAAGGGATCCAACATCCTCTCACGAATAGCAATGAGAAGATTCGGAATATGGTGGAACGACCACTTGTACGAGCACCGCAAATAACTGTTCTTGACCTCATCCGTCAGGAAGCCGAACGGGTCCGTGGTGGCCAAGTTCCCGGCCCGGATGATCTCCGAGTCAGCGCGGCTCCCAGCCCCGGCTCCGACTTCATCCCGGTGACGTTCGAGACGGCTCCGGCGGAAGATGAAGGAGGTGCCCTTGGGCGGAAAGACGCACTCGTCGCCGCGGTCGCGACAGCGCGTGCAGGGCGGACCGCCTGAGTGGATGCACTGAGAGGGGTGAGTCAGTTGTTGTGAGAGGGATGGGGAGGGGGAGGGGAGAGGAGCACTTTGCGCTTGGAGGAGCGACATGCGCCGCATGCTATTGACTTCTTCATCGTTGATGAGTCAAGTGATGGTGACGTCTGTACGTTGACAGGGCAGTCAATCAGTAGTCAGTCAACGTTACTGGTATTTTGGCTGAGTGAGGGTCAAGACTGATGGGGTAAATTTTCCAATGCTGGGCCTTGGATTGGTCAGCTTCTGGTGGGTGCAGTGAGAGGCACTGAATAGAGAGCCTCGACACCAGAGGGACAGCGATTGTGAATGGCAACTTGCACGAAGCCATTTTTATTGTTATCTTCAATAGAACTCGTATAAGTATGATCGGTAAAGTTTATTGGGATTAGAACTGAGGCTTGCATCACAGTGCTTAACGAGGTAATTGACGGCAGAGATGAATCGGGCTTCTGCTCCCACTTGACATCATTCCTCGCTGTTTGTCGGTGAGGTTGGGGGACTCTGGGCGCTGAGTTCAGGCGACTATGGGGCAGCCAATGCCTCGAAGATAGTGCACTGTCCACTAAATTTGATCGTCGTAAAGACCCGACCTCTCTGAACCACTAGAAAGAAGCCACGCGTTAACAGGGGACGACTTGTGCATATGTGTTAGTAGTATTTGCTTACCTTTCTCGTGTATAGGTAATCGTTGAGCCCAATCTTCTCTGTCCGACATTGTATCAACATGGCGGATTGAGCACGTGAAAGGCCCTCGTATCGCTTCCGGTTGTCGCGCCCCCAGTTCTCGATAAGCGCCGCGGGTTTGTGTCGTGTTCGATGAGCTCGCGCTAGGCGATACTCATCCCGTCCTTTGCAGCTGGCAGTAGTCGAACGTCGACGTGCAGACAAGCTAATGGCGTCGAAGCGTTCCATGGGGGATTCCCACAACTGCTCCCCAGAGACCCCGCCTTTGCGTATCAGATCGTTGCGAGCAGTATGTCGAAGGAGTTGCGCTTGGTTGTCCATAACCTTGAAGGAATGCCGTTTGCCTCTGGTGACCGTGCCGCTCTGTGTAAGGTCGCTTCGGACGGTCGCCAAGAACTCATACTCCGGTGTATCAAGAACCTTGGCTCGGTGTGTCATTACATGTCGAGTTAGCGTCACTTCAATATCATCGATCACAAGCCCCTTCTCAAGAACCCTGGCGCATGTGCCTTTGAGAGTTCCAGGGATCCTCAGCAGGCACTTATACTACAGGTTCTTGAGCCTGTCAAGATTGTACTCGGGGAAGCTCCAATTCGGCTTCCCATCTCCATGTTCCTTGGCCCACTGGGGCTCGCCCAGTCCAGACAAGCACAAGTCAAGGTTTTCAGAGTCACCATAAATGAACCACGCGGGGCACGCGTAGGTAATTGTTGAGCGTATCTTGGTTGCGTAGAGTGTAACCAGGTCCAAGAGATGGGTGGCCCAAACAGAACCGGAGAATCGGGTCAAGATGGCTAGCTGACGTTCGACCTTGGCCTCGATCTATGTAACGACAATTTGTTAGATGCATGTCGGGGTGAGGCTTGAGTTTTAACTTACCTCGGTACGTGCGCTGTCCATCGCAAGTGACGACCGACAATGACCCCAAGAATTTTGAGCTCGTCGACAGGCTCATTTTTCGTATCGAACCCTTCAATGTTGACTGTGAGTCTGCAGTCAGAGTCGCGACTCTACGAAGGCTTGAAATGCATCATGTGGTATTTCCCAGTCGAGAATGTAACACCCATTGGCCTCGCCCATTTGAGAATCTCCTCGTGAGCAAACGCTAAAGCCCTGCAGTTGGTTCGATAGGATGAAGATACAACCATGATGTAAGTGTCATCAACGAATGCAAAACAGTAGAATTGCACTGACTTAAGCCAGTTTGGAGCCTCAGACTTCCATGCCTGTTCCGACACCATGCGGAGCAGGGGCGCAGTGTAGAATAGAAACAAAACCGGGGACAGAGGACTGCCCTGTGGAATGCCAATGTTGATCCAATATCGCTTCGAGGTCAGACCTGGAAGCTTTACAACGGTGCTACGGTTACTGAGAAACGAGGCGACAAATTCCACTAACCACTCAGGTATACCGAAGTCAGTCAAAATCTCGAGTAGCTTTTCGCGGTTCACTCTATTGTAGGCGCCTTTAATATCGATGCTCAAAATTGAGACATACTTCTTTGGAGCTGTACTTTATGCCGCATAAACTAGGTTCAGAAGGAGCTGGAGGGCTGTGGTCTTGGATTTCCCCTTCATAGCGTATTGGGTCCTGGGGAGAATATTACAGTGTATCACGAACTCCTGAAGTCGATTTATGACGACTCTTTCAAGGATCTTGCCAATACAAGGTAACAAGGCCAAGGGGTTCTTGAAATAATTGTCGATCAACCGGACGGCAAAATCACATTGACATCGTGTATAAGGGGATTCTACAGCTGCTTGCGCCAGCGAGAATTCATCTCTTTTTGATCAATCTCATTACCGGGCTCGTGGGGAAGGATTGAAATCTGTAGGTTGAACATTATGGAACATGAACTGAGGTTATGATATCGCCAAGCTATGATTGTGATGACTAATGCTGAAGGATTCTTGAAGGGCGCCATTGTCAGCGAGCCAGCCAGGTATAAATGCAACCTCCGCTTCTTGGGAGGCAGTAAACAACTTGCTTCTTACAATTTACTATCAGACACTATTATTGAATATCAATCATGACTTCTTTGAAATCACGTTCTGAGCTTATTGATCTCCTCAAGACTATCCTCAAAGTTCGAAATGAGACAAAATGGGAAACTCTGGAATCTTTATTTCAGTCGAGTATGTTGATCGACACAACCTCTCAGCCACGCGAGAACTTCATCGCAAATCTGCGTGCCGCTAGTGGAGTATCAGTGAAACTCGATAGCTGTGTGGTGGACGTCAACGCTCAAGCCGTTGCTAGGCGAGTCATCAAGACTGAAACCCTCCCAGATGGTGAACGGCATGAGTGCCAGGAGATTATCCTCACATGGTTTGTCGATGGTCGCTTGGCAACTCTCAAGCGACTCAGAGACGACGACTCTCGGTCTGCAAAACACACTGCAACTCCTTCGACGTTGGAAGCACTGAAACCTACCTCTCTTGATCTTACAGCATTGTACCGCGACTACATCAAGAGCATCAACGATAAGGCCATGGATGGTAACTTTGACAAGTTCTGTCAGCCTTTAGTGACACATAATACCGTGAAAAAGACTATCTCAGAGTACATATATCTGATTTCCGAGAGTCAAATGGCAATTCAAGGGTTGTACTTTGACATTCAAGATCTCATCGTCGATAAGGATGCAGGGAGAGTTGCGGCTAGATTGGAGTTTACTGGACTTCCTGTGAAGGCATGGGCTGGCGCGGAGCCTAATGGGAAGAGTGTCAAGTTTCATGAGCATGTCATGTATTGGCTTGATGAAGGCAAGATTCACTGGGTTTGGTCTGTCGTGGATTTGGAGACATATCGAAAGCAACTTAAGCAGACGGAGTAGAGATGGATGAGAATAAAGCTCTACTCGCTCCAGTCGTGGACTATCTAGTAGTTCTAAGTGAATTAGCTCACGGCCCAGTCCCAAGGAAATGAGTAAACTCCTAGAGTGCTACGTGTACATAGGTCAGTGTCATTAAATTTCAGTATCATGCATTCAAACTCTGGCTGTATCGTATGTACCACTTAATAGTCCGCTCACAATTACAAGGAAGTTGGCCTTTCCACTGACACCGCGATATGCAAGCTATATCATTCCAGTTATCGTCGCTAGGATTGCTCAGTGCCGCTAATAAAACAGAATTAAACCCAAGCACATGTCTCAGAGATGTTTTCTCGGGTAGGCTGATCCGGGGCGGCTAGGTTTACGTTGGTGGCTTGGGCTGCATGATGCAGTCTGCCTCACCCAGAGCCTGATTGGAAAGTCTGCCTCGCCAGGCGGTGAGAAACTGGCGGACCCCCCAGATTGCATTCTGACGTACCCGACATGACGAGGCTCTCCGAAAATTGTTCATCTCTTTTCACCTAACTCTCGTACTTGTCCATGACTCCCAAAAGTGACAAGAGACTATGGCGTCCAGTTCGACCGATCAAGTCAGCGAGGTCTTTGAAAAGGCCAAAGCTGATTTTTTGAAAGGAATCAAAGATCCGAAGCTGCGCAATGAGCTTGAAAAAGCGACCACAATTGACGACATCTGGGACTACACCGAACAGCTCCAAAAGGACCAGGCAAGCAATAAGCGACTCCGAGGCATGAAGAGGATCGGGCCTTATATCGAGCGACTGCAAGAATACGCTGGTGTCATCGAAGTCTTTGTCCAAGTTAAACCGGATATTCTGGCTCTCATATGGGGACCGATCAAGCTCTTACTCCAAGTGTCGAGTAACCTCGTTGCTTCTTTCGATGCGATTCTCGGCGTGATGAAGAACATGGGGTCCATTCTTCCTCGATTCAACGAATTTGTTCCGTTATTCAAAAACAATGAGCGCATGAAATATGTTCTGGGGTTGTTCTTCCAGGATATTCTTGATTTCTACCTCGTTTCTCTAAAGTTCTTTGGACTTACTCGTACGAAATCACCCGCCTTCTCACAAGATAGTTCTTCAAGCTGATCGTTACAGGCTGGAAAGTGTTTTTTGAGTCGCTGTGGCCAGCACGCCGAGCTGAGATACAAGTCATTGCTGAAAACATAGAAAAGCACAGACTTTTGCTTTGCAATGAGATTACCCTCAACGACATTTTGGAAGCTCACACGGCAAGGAAGAAGGCTCTTGAGCACTATGCGGAGACAAGAGAATTCCAAGAGCGCCAGGACTTTCATTGCATGGAGACTTATATACGCCCTCCTTCTTACGATGAAGACCTGGATCGTATTTGCAACAGTCGATGTCAGGGCACTGGATCATGGCTAGTTCAGGACCAGCAGTTTGTGAGTTGGGCTGAAGGAAAGGAGAAATCCGCCCAGGTTCTTTGGCTTCAAGGGATCCCTGGAGCAGGCAAGTCAATTTCTTCGGTCTCAGGATATTTAAAGCACACTGGAAGCTAATAGGCTGCTTAATAGGGAAGACATTTCTAGCATCGACAGCGGTTGATAGGACGAAAGATTTGGGTCATTCGCTATTTGCCCTTCTCAGTTACAGAAACGATCTGAAATCCCCCATCCCGATCTACCACTCCTTGATCTTTCAGCTCGCATCGCAAGATCGAGATTTGCGAACTGTGCTATGCTCAACCATCATGAGCACCACTAAGGATTTGAAACGCGATCTGAAAGGCGACTCCAAATTTGCCTTCAGCATCTTCTCAAAGTTGCTCCAAGCGGCAGGTCCAACATACATCGCCATTGACGGTCTCGATGAAATTGATGAGTTTACCCAGCAAGCCTTTCTACATCTACTCCTTGATGAACTCAAAAGCTTGCCCCATGTCAAGCTTCTTGTCAGTAGTAGAAGAGTTGAAAGAATCGAAAGAATTTTGAAGCCAGTTGCGGCGATACTACCAATTGACCAGAAGAATTCTGACTGCATCAAGGCATACGTTTCCCGTCGAGGTGGGGAATGGCTCGATAACTCATATTTCGAAAGTGACGCCCGCTCAGAAATTCGGCGATTGCTCAATCCCTTGGCTTCGAAGGCAGATGGTAAGCTTATCTTTAGTCCTATTTCTATTATATTATGTGACCTAATATCGACTAGGTATGTTCCTTTATGCGAGGATAGTATTAGAAGATGTGGAAATGCTACAGGATTTGGATTCCATCCGGGATCAGCTTAGTGTCCTCCCAGAGGGTCTTGACGAGGCGTAAGTCGCTTATTTATTCCTACAAATCTTACTGAGAACCAATGTCCAATTAAAGGTACGAGAGAATACTTCAAAGAATTACAAAATATCCATCGAGCGCTCAGAAGCAATGCAAGAAGATCTTGTCATGGATAGCCTGCGCTCCTGTTCAGATCACTCGTCACGAGATGGAACAGGTTTTGATCATCAAGACAGATCATAGAAGTGTTCCTCCAGTCAGATCCACCCTGAATACTCTTCCCCTATGTGGTCCACTAGTTGAAGTTGAGGATGAGAAGCTGAAATTTGTCCACTTCACTGTGAAGGAGTAAGTGACCCTGAAATGATTCTGATCAGTTTTAACAGTTGTCTCAGGTATCTTCTTCGACATGAGAAGAATAAGCTTTTCGATGAGAGAGAGGCACTTCTCGAAATCTCAACCACCTGCTTGGCATATCTCTGCTCAGACCTGCTGGATGCGGACATCAGCGACGACGATATCCAGCGTAATTTAGTATCTGGGGCATATCGGCTACTCAACTTTGCACATCGCCAGTGGGCAGAGTGTCTTAGACTTTGTACGAGGCATTTCCGAGATGAGTTGCCGCCACAGCTTGTCCCCTTGCTGGGCCACATTATGCAAGAACTCGCAAATCCATACTACAGCGAGGACTTGGACACAAACTTGGGGCTCTGGAGTCTTGATAGATTCAAGTCAAACCTTGAAGAGGTCAAAACTATTTCTCGTAGCCTTGACTTTAGAAGTCTTATGGCTACTTCTTATGACTGGCGTCTGGACGAAGGTAACATTAATGCCCCAATAGATCTGCTGAAGGCCCAACTAACAGGATCTTAGGAGAAGCTTGTTGGTCGGATTTTGATTCCACAACTATCTCTGCGACGACAATACGTGTCCATCGCAAATTAAAGAGCCTTCTTTGCAGCGGCAGCAAACATACAAAAGATTGTTACTGTTCAGAAATTCAGAAGCATTATGGTCCTGCTGTCAACATATGCCCCTTCTTGTCTTGTCGATTCCATCAATTCCCTTTGAGAAATAGGGATCTCCGCGACAAACATATCAGGCAGCATGAGCGCCCCTTCAAATGCGCCGTTGAAACTTGTGAGTACTCAACTCTCGGTTTCTGTTCTCGGGGCCAACTCGAACAGCATCGAGTTCAGTACCACCAGAGGCCAACTGAGCTTCATATTCCCGGAGACCTCGATACCCTTCAGCACGAGAACCTCAACTCACTCGTGATGGAGTACATTATGAGAGATGAAGTTCAAGAAATGGAACGGATTCTTCCCTCGATTATATCACGATGGGCTTCCCAGTCAGCCTTCAGATCTTCCTTCGAGGGCTTGTTAGCCTCTCATGGTTCTGTCGCAATGGCCCGCCTTATATTGAGTGAACGACCTTTGATTGATGACCCATCATCTTTGATTGATGACCCATCATCTTTGATTGATGACCCATTTTGTAAGTCGTTTGTGCCTCACGCTATCAAAAGTTGCAACATTACGGTCGTTGAGTGGGTTTTCAGCAACGGCGTAATCGCTTTACTGGAATCCCGTGTAGTCGAGTCTCGCTTTCTCCCAGAAATACTGGCCTCTGATTCTATTGAGATTTTCAATATCTGGCGAAACTATGCACTCTCTTTTGGCTCCACCGACACCATATTCTCCCCTAGACTGGCGTCTAGCAAATTGAGCCCAGTGGTAGAATTACAAGTAGCATCTCTCTGGATCGAGCAGTATAGACTCGGAAATGTTCTTGGAGGAAACTCAAGTCTGGTCCTGAACTGGCTGGCCTCTGGGAACTGCTCTATCGTGCTGGCTAAGGCTTTAGTGGCTTGTGGCGCCGACGTTAACTTCGGGCGAAAAGGAAGTTGCTGGCTTACGTTGCATCAGGCGCTCAGGAAGACTAGCGCTGAGGCAGCTGACCTAGTCAAGTATCTTCTGCTATCAGGTGCAGACCCTCATGCATCTATTACACGGCGTTCGGGGAAGAACAAGGGGCAGACAGTCTTTCCATCCTCAATGCCTGGTGTAAAAGGCATCTTCAAGTGGTTGGGGAAGACATGGGATGAACTAGTCGAATGGGCAGCAGAAGAAAGAGGCAAAAATGCAAAAGATACATTGCCACCCGCGTCTTCGACATTGTCAGCAGATAGGGGGTGATGATATACATATGTACGGGGATATATAAATCAGGGATATGGTATTGTTGAATCGGGTGTTTCTTTTTGTGGATATATGTTGATGATGAGCTATTTGTGCAAATGGAAGTCTAATTTGTGAATTATATGGTATTCAAATATGACGCCTGTAGTTGCACTAATTCTTGTTATCACCTAGAACGGTTATGTGACCCAAGGAGCTATTGATGATATCTAACTTTCTCTCCTTGACATCTTTAACCATCTAAGTTGACTGCATTAGCACGAAGAGGCCGAGTCTAACGAGAGATGAAGCCACTCACCATCTCTATCGAGTCATTCGTAATGTAACGGGTCGCAACGACGTCTCTTTTTTGACCCATTCTATGCACTCGGTCTAGTGCTTGCTCCTCAAGCATTGGGTTCCAATGCGGCTCAACCAGATGTACGAAGTTGGCGGCGGTCAGGTCGACCCTGGTCATGAGAGATCAGCTGACGAAAACACATAAACATACTCAGGTTGAATTTACCCCTCGCCGATACTTCCTATCGTGGCAATCATCACCGTGCACCTGTCGTCATCGCGAAATGATTGTAATGCCAAAGTCCTTTCTGGCAAAGACTTTTGTCCGTCTATTCTCGCAAACTTGAAGCCCTCGCCCCGTAGGGCAATTTCAAGCAGGTTTAGCATTTTCCTCCAAAACGTGAACACAACGCTGTAAGTTTATCAGCATTGTACATTATTGATACCAGGGCCTGAGAGAATAACCTCTTAATAGGTTTATCACCAAAGGTGGGCAGGTTGTCCTGTTGCTCAGCACGAAGACTTTGTATGACTTCTCTTATCTTGGCAGACGGTCGGTAATTCCGCTCTTCAGTGGCTGCGTCAGTACCTACTGAATCCCCATTCTTGGTACAGCTTGGACAGAGAACGCTATCGAGTGACAGTTGATAGGTTTCGTCTGAGTCTGCGCATTTGGAGCAAAGGAAATGAGAACACGCGAATTCCGATTGCATCTCGTTAGTTGATGCTTCCATCCCGCAAGAAAGGCAAAGCCCAAACTTGCTTGTAGGAAAATTCGAATGCGAGGCTGGGTTGTGCCGATGGCTCCAGGCCTCAACCGCAAAATTCGGAAGAAGCCTCTCTCCATGATTGCAGATGAGTCTTAGGGTGTTGATGATCGGAAGGATACTCCCCGTTCTTTGAGCAGCATTTGAGTCGCCAAGCCCTCTGTTGGCAATCAAGTGGGAAGCGTGTCTCCCGAAGAAATCATACAGCTCTCTGTCGTCGGGATCCAGCTGTATGACACACTCGTGTACCTTGCGATCAGGAAGATTCAGGGTTTCACTCACACTGTCTTTGGTCCTGCGGAGACAAGTGGAACTAACAAGTAGTTTCAGCCTTCTGAGTCCCTCAGCAGTGCCCTGGGCGACCGGCTTCATTATCCAAAAGTCAAATACTGATTTACTGATGAATGGTGGGATTCCGATGAAACTTAGTAAAGCCCCGTAGTCGTCGAGACGGTTTTGTATGGGCGTGCCAGTAAGGCACCATCTTCGACTGGTTCGTAAGGCAGTGACGGCCCTGAACGTTTTTGTGGACCGCTCACGAATATGATGGGCTGGACCCTGTTAGCTGAATCCACAAATGAAGAGCGAATATGTATGACCTTCGTCGAGAACGACTCGTGCCCATGTCTGTGTGAATAGAGGAGAATCTCCTTTCTTTGACCTCCATTCAGACTGTAGTGTTCCGTAAGTGGTGAGAACAACATCGTGCTCCATCAGAGACTTGGCCAATCTGTCTCTCGTATGGCCATGGAAAAGCACCACTCGAATCTGTTCCGGGACTATGTGGCTACGATAGTTGAGTTCAGAGGCTGAAAAGAGCACGAGTATGTTCTTACCTAATGATCTGCTCCTGCCACGCGGGAATAGATAAAAGGATGTTAGAGTGCATGTTGCATTATAATGGTAGGAATATACTTACTAGAGTTTGGTGCAACGATTAGCGTCGTGCGACAAGTCTCGGGGACACCTGCATTGTCCATGACATCCAGAAACCAACTGATCAAAGCGAGAGTACTCAAGGTCTTTCCAAGTCCCATATCCTGAGATGTGTCAGCGAGGTCCCGAGAAGAAGTGTATAGACTGACATCGGCGAGGATACCCCCACACAATAGTGCGGGTTTCACTTCATTTCGCCCCGTGATTGCATGACGATACCTTCAATAAGCTATTAGCTCTGATAATCATCTGATAGAGATTCGCCATACTCTACGCGGCCATTTGATGTGGTAACGGGATCCCACAAGGAAGGAAACGTCGTATTATCAAGCAAGCCAAGATCCTTTTCGACCATCATTGCCAGGGCCTTCTTTTGATGTCTTGGCCAGAGTTAGATGACGTTTATTCCGGCTACTGGGACCTTACTCTTGTAGACACGTTCTTAGCCTGGAACTTGGTTGTACTTGCGTAAAAGTCGACGGTCCACTGGCAGAGTCAAACACCCGATGGACTTCGCTCTTCGCCTTTTCCGCCATAACTTGTTCAGGTGAGTGTTGTTTTTCAATTGCTTGGAAGGCCGCACCATCAGCTCTGGGGATAGTTGAGCCGGGTCTCAGAAGGTACTGAGGATTCAAATACTCCAAGCGAGTGTCGTATTCAGTGGGATGCTGGAGAAAGAGTTCGGAGCCTTCCAGGATATCACCAATTTCGTTCATGTCCTTTCGCAACCCGTAGACGACAATGTGGAGTGTTTTTGGTGTTTGAAAGGAATCAGCGGACTTCTTCTTTTTGACAGGCGGACATTCTAAAGTGGTGGCAAGGGTCACTTGGTAGTCCTCAACGAGATCGACTATAGCCTTGGATTCTATACGACCCATATAGTTACCAGAGCCTTCAACATGAAGGCTTATGACGTGGCCTGAGAATCGGAGCTCAATGGGAACATGTGAGAGATCTTCACTCAACGTGGCCGGTGACAAAAATTCGATTAGAAGCTATTTATTAGCACATGGACTCGTCACAGCTGCAGTAGCTTACGAACTTCTCCAAAACAGCACTGATCAGACTCATTGTCCGATAGCATGACGGTATCCTCGTTACCAATTGGTTGATGGCCAAGGGGAGATAGCCGCGAACTTCCTGTATCGCTCAATGCGAACGGGCTGAATGAGTTTCGCTGGCTCGGATTGGAAGAAGATATCGGATTCAGCCAAGAGGGCTCTTGAAGCCTCGAGGTGTCGAGAAAACTCGGCTGTTCGAGACAGGCTCTCTTGGCCAAGTCACTCTCGCCAAGCAAGGCATACGGGGTGTGTTGGCGTTTATTCGGCGGTTTTTCTGACATAGCTGCTTTAATTGACAGATGATTTGAAGTGAAGAATGAAGATATGTTGAACGGAATAGCGAGAAAAGATTGAGGCTGTGGATGAGGTAGCCGACATGCAGCCAGTCAGCCTTACGGCAAGGGTGCCTTACAGCAGGGGTGCCTCAAGCAAGGGTGCCTGAAGCGAAGATCTTCCAAGGCATTCACCATTGAAAGTATTGCTGACCGCCCAAAATGGAACAAGAAGACAATTACATCTGGTTTATACCCGTTTTATATGATATAGTTAACAGATAATAAAGTTGACAAAGAATAGAGCAATTGTCACGATTCGTGCCCCATAACAGCACCGTAAAACTTCGACAAGGCAGTTGCAGCATACCAATAACCCTTGCATAGCGATTCTGGGCCGATCTTTTACCCTGTAGTTTAGGCTTGTACAGCTGTTACAGTACGGAGTATATTTTCTCATTCTATACGAAGTAGAAAACTTAATAGCTATACACTTTTTGCGGTGTACTAGCAATGTAATCTTATAGAACTACAGAAGGTCAAAGAGAGAGATTATACAGTAGTATGTCATGGTAATTGCCGGCTTGATGTCCTTGACTGTACTAATACCCGCTGTCTCGCTCGGCCTAGGTTGGCTAATAAGTAATCTGCCATGTCGTATTTTATATGACCTGAGGTAGAGACATGGAACCTCCAGTGAATTCACTCCTCCGCAAACTTTGACCATTGTCTGATAGTGCGGCCATATCGCCAGAAAAGAAAGGAAACGGGCGAGAGCGCGAGACAAATGGAACCGATAACCGTTCCCCCAATACCCAGCCCCGCATCCACTAACAAGTCTGTAGCATACAAAGGAAACGTCGCGGCGATCACACAACGTACAAAATTATTAATTGCCAGGGCGCTATTGGCGTGGACGAGATACACCTCAATCAGGTAGACCACGCCGGACATCAAGACCAGGATGGAGCCGCTACCAAGCAAGACCCCGGCGGAAGCTTGTGAGAGCCAATGGACTGACCTGCTAGAGGTCCATCCGAACCAAAATATTCCTGGAATATGTAAGAGAGCGAGTCAAAACAGGACAGCCTGGGGTGAGTACCTGCGGATAAGAGGATGGACCCGGCAATCATAGGCGGCAGACGTCGTTCCGGCACATGGATTCGGCTCTGTTGGATATAGTAGATGCTATGTAGAGCAATACATATGCACGCCAGGACTACGCCAATGGTCATTCCGATGAACGGAAGACTTCCATCCATACGGGACCATCCGCGGACTGTGACAAATGCAAGAGGATACATAGTAAAAGTGAGGTATATAATTCCATAAGCGAGACTCATGTAGATGGTGAAAAAGATGAGCTGCAGATCATCAATAAGGTTTCTGAATGCTGGGGTAGCTGACTTACTATTGGCTCCCGCACAAACATCCTGACAGGTTTTGTAAGGTAGCTCTGCACGAATATCGATATACCCCGTTCTGGACGATATATCCGAGATGGGGTAACCGAGGTATTCCCTTTGGATCTTTGGCGCAGTATCACCACCTCGGACGTTTCAGGGGTCAGAAGAAATGCGACGCTCCCAAAGATGACACCTCCTATCAGAGTAAGCCACGCCGTCCAGCGCCAGCCCAACTTGAGCGTCGCCAGATTTCCAATGATAGGCCCAACAGTTGGTCCGCAAAAAGTCGCAACGCTGAAAATTGCCGTTGATATTCCTCGCTCGGCCGGTCTACTGAGGAAGTCGACGTACATGCCACCTAGGATAGCCAAGCTCGAAGAACCCGCTAAACCAGAGAGGAACCTAAACGTCAAGAGTAGAGGCATGTTCTGCGCGAGTGCGCAGGGGAGTTGGCAGATGCAGAAGATGGAGTAGCCTAGAAACAGGGGTTGTCGCTTGCCGTACAGTTCCGAGGCGGGACCCCATGCCATCGGACCAAGGGCGAAGCCGATAACGTAGAGTGTTATGCCTAGTAGGGCGGTATCGGGTGTGACGTTGAATCGGGCTTGGATGTGGGGGATTGCAGCCGAGTAGACGCTGCTGCCGAAGGAGACGACAAAGGTTGCGAGAGAGGTGCTGACTACTATGGACCATTTCTTGGAGGAAGGCCAGTGCACTGGTCTATCCTCTTCTTTCAGGCCTTCTGGACTAGACGGTGGGCTTTGAGAGTCATCGAGGGAGATGGAGTTCTCAATATCGTTGGCGGTTTGATTGTGCATGTTTGTATGTATTGAAAACAAGAAGAGCGGACTTGCGACTTGATGAATGACAGTTTGATATCAACCAAACAATACCCTCAAAGTCAACGTGTTTGTATATGGCCCTTTAAGCTGCCCAGATACCCCGGATTTCCCGAGTCGCAGCGCTAGGGACTACCCTTCCATGTGGAACCGACAAATCCCGTAATCTGGGGTCATAGGCGAGATGTAACCTCGACCAAGAGTTTCGCGAGCGGTCTAGTGCTGACCCCATGAAGTGAGCCTTTTATGTTTCGTGGATGAAATCACATCTCGGGGAACCTCCGGGCTGTATCTCCGTGAAGTCATGGGTGCTGTGAGAAGATCTTGTCATTTTTTGTAAAATCTAGCATCCTCATTGACGTCAGGGAACCACTTCATTTCTGTTTTACAATTTGGATGTGATAGGAAACTGGGGGTTTTAGGTTATTGTGACCATATTTAACTTAGTTATCATGTAGGTCGCTATATGAAGACGAACTACAAGTCTTTTGAGACGCTTACTCAACATTTACGAATCTCAGGTGTAGATCTGCAACAGACTAGAATGATTCAGGCCGGATGGAAGATGCCCGACTCTCGGCAGATTTCTTCCCATTCTTGAACACTTCCGTCATATGAGCGTACATAAGTTGATATGTCCATCTCGCGCCTGATATCCTAACCATTGCAAGAGACAGCCCAACACGAACATTATCAAGTCTGGCTCTCTACAATGTCACTGCTAACATATCTCACCAAACCCTCATGGGCGTTCCCCATCCTCGCAATTGTAGCTATAGTACTACACTGCATCAACCGCCTCTTTATCAAACCCCATTTCAGCCCCCTCAAACATCTCCCCTCCGCCAAACAAGGCCCCCTTCTATTCCGTCTCATACACGAGCCCAAAGTCTCCGAGATAGAAGCATGGATGGATGAACTCCCGCACCAGGGCCTCATCAGGTACATGGGAGTCTTCAACCAGGAGCGTATCTATGTTGCTTCTCCTGAAGCAGCACAGGAGTTGCTGTCTTCAAATGCTTACAAGACTGTCAAGCCTGAGCTTCAGTGGATTCTGGCGAATAACATCGCTGGCCACGGGTTGCTCATCCAGGAGGGTGATCAGCATAGACAGGCTCGCAAGAGATTTAACCCGGTGTTTAGTCCTGCTCAGATGAAGAAGTGGTTTCCTACTATCTGGAACTTGGCTGTCGACGCTGTTGATGTACTACCGCAACACGTAAAGAGAGAACCATTCTCCCCACACGACGTTGTAGGAATCATCGAACTTGTCTCGGCAGCAAGTATCGACATCATCGGTCGTTTCGGCTTCAGCACTGAGTTCCAGACCCTGCAGAGAGTCACATCGGGTCAGAGCACCAAAGGCTCTCCAGATCCAAAGGTTGGCTTTGGCAAAGCCTACATTAAGATGTTCAAGACAACGAAGCGAGGCCAGACTACTCTTCGTGCCGCATCCCTCATCGGGCCACAGCTCGCGCTGAAGCTGCCTCTGCGAGCGGTAAAGACAATAGATAGTATCATGGCTCTGGTCCGTGCCACTGCCGAGGATATAACGACAGATCATGAGCGAAATATGGAGAAATATGTGGGAAGCCCAGATCCGGATATGCTCACCCTGCTGATGCAGACTGGACACTTCTCGCATCAGGACCTGGTTGAGCAGACTGTTCACTTCTTTGCTGCTGCGACAGAGACCGTGGCTGGTTCTACATGCTGGGCCATCCACCTGCTCTCCCGGCACCCTGATATCCAAGACCGTCTGCGAGCGGAGATCAGGGAGAATATAGCCTCGCCTCGATCGGATGTCAGCCAGTCTCAACTGCACAGCCTGAAGTATCTCAACGCTGTTACAAACGAGGTACTGCGATACCACTCGATCAACACGCTGCTCTGGCGCGAACCAACACAAGACATCACGCTTGCAGGAGAGCAAATCCCCAAAGGCACAAAGATTGTCTTCTCACCCTGGGCGCTGAATCGTGATCCTGCACACTGGGGACCTGATGCGCGAGTCTTCAATCCATCGCGATGGCTGGATAATCCCAGCGGCGGATCCGACCACGCATACTCGTTTCTGACGTTTGGGGGTGGTCCGCGTCGTTGTGTTGGTGAGCAATATGCTAGAGACCAACTGTCGTGTTTTGTTGCTGGTCTTGTTGGACGGTATAGGTTTACCCCTATTGATTTGCAGAATGGGTCAGATGAGGGCAGGGAGATTGGTGATGATTTTGCGTTGACGTTGTTCAAGATCCTTTCGGGGTGGAAGTTGAATGTTGAGTTGGTTTCTGGGTGGTGAACTGGCTGTTCAAGGTCTATGTAGCAATCAACTACGGAAACATTTGCTATGGTCTTATTGTCCAGCCAAGGCTCTTCATGTTTCCATCCGGGCATTTGACCAGCTCGGCACCAAGGTATCTGGTACTCAGCCTGACACAGCATATTTATATCTCCACTGCTCCGAACCTATACTATGTAGCGAAACCTGAGACAACCTGCCAGGTCTAACCGGCAGAATCATCGGCCAAAATCCGCCCAAAGCCACTAACCAGAAGCGGTCCACGTGGCTGTGCAAAACACAATTCCAATCAGGTTCTGTCCAGCGCCCAAGGCATCAATCCCCGATCAAATAAAACCCAATGCCATTGGAATTTTCCCATGATTCTCGAATACCGTATCTTTTACCCACAGAAACCTCATCATGACTTTCCAACAAGTCAAAACTTCCTGGTTCTCTCTACTGATCCTTTGTTTAGAGCTCTCTGTATCTTCGGGTATAGTTCACGAGGCATATTTCTACCACTTTTACTTTGCATTACTTATCCACATTCGCTTGAACCCCCTTTTGGCTTCATTATGGAAAGATGTCTCCGAATCCAAGGAGTTCATCCCTGTCGTTAATCCCACTTGGCCAATTTTATTAACATATTTCTTGTGGTACGCCGCGATACTGGCCGTGCCGTTAAATCGCATGGAGGTGTTCGTTCCAGTAGCGGGCCTTGTGGCACTCCTTTTACAGCCTTTAATAACTCTCTTACCGCCCAAGATATCTAGACTATCGCGCTCAGGCTTTTCATTCTACGACACTTGCCATTGTATCACATCACGACAGCCATACAACCATCAAGCCCTCCCTAGCGAAGCTCATATCCGCCTTGTGACGTTGCGAGGTTTTCTATTCTGGCGTGACGTGCAGATTCTGGCCTATCCATTGAATGCGTGCCCTACGTATGAAGCTATCTCATACACATGGGATAATCAAGAACCAACATGTCCTATTGTTGTCAATCGTGGTCGCTTGCTAGTTACTAGAAATGCTCGACAAATACTGTACGACTTTACACCTGCCTGTGGACAACGAATGATTTGGATAGATTCAATATGCATCAACCAAGCTCAAGATGATGACTCCCTAGCGGAAAGGGCAGTGCAAGTTGGGCGCATGTCCGAAATTTACAGAAGGGCTACCGCAGTGAGAGTATGGCTATCACAGCCCTCGGTGCCGGAAACACTGATTCCAGAAAGCCTTGATGTGCTGTTCAAGGAGTCGCTTGCTGAATGGATACATGAGCATTTAGTATCCGGAGTCTCCTTTCCACGATTACATCAAAGAATATTCACCCTGATTGCGCTGGCTTTGAGCGTAATTTACATTTCCTTCCTTCATCCGCCAACTCTATCTAGCGGATCTCTACAGCACATTCTCTCACACGACTACTGGATTCGATTGTGGATTATCCAAGAGATTGCATTTGGCCGAGAGGTCACCATACATTTAGGCCCTATGTATATCACTTGGCAGTCAGTTTCCAATTTTGCACACAAGGTACTGCCTGAGTGTTCCAAAGATGAATATGGTTGGGGGATTACCGCCTGGTTAGGACTGCATAAGTTCTACGACATATCGCCGTCTGATGAGGTACTTCGAGGCCTTCGGCAAATAAAGTTGATAACACAGCTTCGTTCCAACATTTCAAAAGGAAAGCTCGAAGACTTGTTAGCACTATTGTCGCTCTTGTTTCATACCAAGGCACGTGATCCCCGCGATAAGGTTTACGGCCTCCTCAGCCTCGTGCAAGAAAGGAGAGCTGGTCCAGATTTATGTCAGGATATCCAGGCGGACTACAATTTAACAACAAGAACTTTGTATGAGGGACTAGCTGAAAGGTATTTGACACAGACGGCTGCGGAATTCAACGCTAGGATCTTGCTCTATGCCGGAGTTGGATGGCCGAGGACGGTCGGTGGACTTCCGTCATGGGTTCCAGACTGGACTTCCATTTCAATGGCTCATACAAGGGCTTTTGCGACAGAAACCTTTGACTTGCAATGGTCATTAACGCTTCTGAAGTGTCAGGGAGCGTTTTCCTTCGAAGGCAGCACATTGAAAATAGCCGGCTGTCATGTGATAGACAGTATATCGGCCAAAACACAGGTCATTGATCATGACGACGACTCAAGACGATGGTTTAACGAGATTTGCGATGTGGTGGAAGGACAGTTGAGCTATATTCCAAAGAAGGAGATCGACCTTTTAGGAGGATGGAGTTGGTGTTATCGAAGGTGCCCCGGTCGATGGAGAGGGGCTATCTTTCGAGTCCTGATCGGGGACATCGAATCTTACTGGGGAGAAGCACCCCATCAAACGAATGTCACAACATTCGTACGGCCAGACACCTTCCCAACAGATATCCCGGGAGCTGGTTACGAGAACCCAAATCATGCTGATCCAAGAGGAGGCCGCATCGCGCTTGAGGCTAGTTATGATGAGTGGCTGAAGCTTCCACATCGTCAGCCAAGGTATCCGGACACGGTTGAGAAAGAACATCCGGGATGTATTCCGTTTGTTTCTCTCTCCAGACGAAAGACGCAAGGACTGAGGTTCGCCGTCTCTCAAACAGGTAGAATGTGTCTAGTTCCTCCTGAGACGGCTCTTGGAGACAAACTCATGCTTTCTGAACATTTGCGAACCCCTTATCTGATCCGGCCTATGAAAGGGGAAAAGGAATATCAGCTTGTAGGACACTGTATCGCGTTGGGCCTTATGGGTGATCGCGACTGGAATCATTACAATGCGACTGGGGGCGTTAACCCAGAAGGTTATAACTTTGAGGCCTGTAAAAAGGAGGTCATTACGATTTATTAAAGTTTTTCTGGGACCTCTACTAGCTTTAAGAGAGTTTTCTCCCCTATTTGCATTAAGCATCAACATCCCACTAGCTGCATCGAGACCTCTGACTAAAGCTGCCATGACTGGTCGTGTCATTGGATCTCAAAAGCGCTCTTGCCATCTACGTCAGTGAACGATACGCATGATCTCCAATTCTCTTCCAACCAGATGCATCGCAACAAATGGAAACCAATTGTACGTAAATCCGTCACCGGCCCGCCTCCCGGATCACCAGTCGGCAAAGGCGGGTTGTCTAACGAGCTAGCCCAGCCACAATCCACAAGATAATTAAAGATTCATTGGTCTGGACCAAGCCACTCCTCAGAGGCTGAAAAGAGACCAATAAACTTCAAGCCGGTCTACATATGAAACGTGGTGCAATTTACCTAGTGTTAAGCTATGAGGTAAAATTGTCAGGGTGGTCGAGTCAAGATTCTGGTGACTCTTGACCAGAAAGTTGTTGCAAGTCTGGCTGTGGTAAATTGAATTGAGTGAAGATCATCGGCTTAACGAAGTCAATTACTTAACGAGGCAAAAGATATGGTTAGGAGCTCTGTTGATTACCCGTTTGGGCATGTCGATCATACAGACATTACTCAATTGAGAAGCTTATGAGTCAAAAGTGATCGATCATGAATCGATCGGCTTATTCTCCGCTTTCTCCCGCGATCTAGATTCCCGAGCGGAGATCCATGACTCGCCAATCCCGAAAGAGATCGGCACTCCTCAATCGTGAGGAATTTGTTTCCTTCACTCGTGAAACAAACGCCGCTTCAAAGAATACTTACTACCAATGTGCATTTCATTCATAAGACACGGTATGGAAATGTTGTTAGGGTTGAGTATTACACGGATCATGTGCGCAGTACAGAGGGTGAAACAAATCTACCTCTGGTCGGACTATCAGCCCTATTCCTTTCCGGGCTCTAGTCATATGCACCCACGAATCTTTAGAGCCGCTTGGATCCGATGTGATAGGGGCATCTGTGTTAGCTTGTAGTCCATGCAGCTCTAGCTTCTGTAATAAAGATGGAGGTGTCCTCTCTTTTCTTCCGTTATTCCCCTGCTCTGTTCTGCTTTTGTCAGTCTGGTTGTAAAATATGCCTCAGATTGAAGATAGGCCGTCGGTATGTTACTTTGGCTATAGCTGTTGGAAGTGGCTGATGTGATTAGTTCATCATCGAGTCGTGGACGCTTTATGTCTTCGGTACGCTTATTCTCTTCTCGCGCTTCGCAGTTCGTTTCAAGACTGTTGGGTGGAGGGGTCTACAAGGCGATGATTTCTTTTCTGCTCTTGTCCTCATATTCTACGCTGTAGATGCATTTACGGTGCATCTCATCTGTAAGACTCCATGACTTACACCACCAGTTTTTTCTCTAACTGTACAGACTACCTCGGCACTAACATCGAAGCTGGCGTCGCAGCCAAGTCACATAGTTAGTCCCTTCAAAATCTTACAAATAACTGTAAGCTAACAATCCAAAGCTTTGACGAAAGATGAAATCCACGAATACGAGACCGGTTCTAAACTCGAGCTTGCAGCTTGGTACGCATACACGGCACTCATCTGGTCTCTCAAGGGAACAATGCTATGCTTCTTCTCGAGAATGACGATTGGGACGTGGCATAATATGTTTGTCAAGACTGTGTCGATCCTGTGCGCTGTCTCGTACCTTGCTGTCTTCCTCACAGTAAGCATGCTCCCTATCGAGGTTGGGTTCAGGATAGAGCTGATTGTTTCCAGATTACGTTTGGTTGTTTCCCCACTCAGAAGAACTGGCAGTAAGTCCATAAATCGATGTTGGTGAGTTAAGCTGACGTTATTACAGGGTTGTGCCTGATCCTGGAGGTATGTCACACTGAGCTACACGATATTGACTACGTAAACTAACAGCTCACACAGAGAAATGCTCCTTCAAAATGCAGAACTTTCTCGTAACAACAGTCCTCAACGTCCTGTACGTCAAACTCCCCCTAATTCCATAAACCCTCCTGACTCTCCAGAACCGACGCTCTCATCCTCGGAATTCCAATGCCTCTCCTTTGGAAACTCCAAGTCCCCTTCCGCAAGTCCGTCTCCCACCCCCTCCCCAAAGCCCTTCTAACATCCCCAGAAAACTCGTCATCGGCCTGCTTCTCTCTTCAGGAGCATTCGTGATAGCAGCAGCTATAACCCGCGTCGTCCTTACACTCTCCGCAAACCCATCTGCACTGACCATCAACGCATGGGGCGTTCGAGAAACCATCGTTGGAATCCTCACCGTCAACATCCCCATTCTGAGGCCGATCTTCTCAAAGTCCTTTTGGAATGGCAATGCTCCGAATGAGGTTACTTCGTCTTATCGGACCACGACGCACGGCACAAGGGGTGGTAATAGAACGCTTACGCAGGATATTTCGGGCCCGTATGAGCTTACGCCAAGTATTAACGACGGATCGAAACCGAGCATTCGGGGGAGTCAGGACTCGATCGTTTCAAAGACCGTGAGGATGGCTGATATTGTTGTGTCCAAGTCGTATCAGGTCAGTCATGACGTGAATACTTATGATGGAAGATCATGGTATGGAGACCGAAATGGAGCTTCGAAAGCATCTGTGCATGCAGAATCTCCAGTTTAGTCATTATGCAGTTGCAATAAAGCCATCCATGCATAAGTGAGTTCAAGTTGCTTGTGATTCAGACGGGCAAGATCAACACCATTTACTTTCATAGGTCTCTTCACCACATCTGAGCAACATTGGTAGCACCTTTCTAGGCTGAGATTGCATGCCAGGCATAGTTCTCTGTAATGAAATGAATGGTGGGTATCCATTCTAAAATATAACCTTTTGCGCTACATCAAAGTGTCTTTAAGCCGAAGCCAGATCCAAAAGAGTTTTCCCGTTTTTATCCCTTGTCAATGGCTTTGCATTGCCCTCTTTCAAGAGCAGTTCGACAGCGCCTAAATGCTCCCACTTTGCAGCATGTCCCAGTGCAGTCATCCCGGTATCATCTTCGACATCGACGTCAATCCCGGGTTCACCAAGTAGCATCCGGATTATCTCTTTATTTCCATACTGAGCCGCATGAGATAGCGGGGTCAGCCCGTTACCATCCCGCACGTTAAGGTCAATGTGATCCATAGATATCAGTTGCCTGACTATGTCTGTTTGTCGGTGTATGATAGCCCAGATCAGTGCTGTCCTTCCTTGCCGATCCTTCATGTTAATGGCCTGTTCGTATTTCAACAGCAGAACTACGATTTCCCATTGACTCCGGTGAGCAGCGAGCAGTAGTGGTGTATACCAGAGGTTATCCACCACGTTGAGGTTCACTTTACCTGTGTGCAGAATCAGGCGCAACATATCCACATTTCCCATCAAAACACAGTTATGAGCAGGTGTTCGTCCGTATTTGTCCTGGGTGTTGATGTTAACCTGCGAATGATGAAGGAAATATTTTGCTAAGGTTGTGTTGCCGCTCAAACACGCTAGACAAAGTGGTGTGCGGCCGTCTTTATTCTTCATGTCAACTCTCGTCTTCCCCATTGCGATTAGAGCGCCGGTGATAGGAGCTGAGTGCTCCTGAACGGCGTGATGAAGTGGTGTATACCCTTTGATATCGGCTATGTTCACGTCTACTGAATCGTTTTCCAAGAACGGAGACACTGCGTCCGAGTCTAGGGTCAAACAAGCCAGGGCTAGAGGCGTAAGCCCACGGCTGTCTCGGCTGTTGGCAGGCGCTTTTGCTGTTGTGAGAATCTCCTTGATCATTTGATATGATCTCTTTGTGACAGCTCTATGCAAGATAGTTTCGCCCTTGCTGTCAGCCAGATTGATATTTATCTTCTTTACTTCCAGCATAACTTTTAACTTGTCGGCCCAATCCTTGTCGAGCCACTCGTTGTCAGTCTCAAGAATGGCCATTGTACAATCTTGAACGCTAACGGCATCATCATAAAGATCAAACATCAGTTTAAGAGTCGAGAAAGAACTGTATCGAATAACCCAAGAATACGCAGGATCTTTCCCGTGTACTCTAGCAGTGACGTTGGCCACCCCTGTCCTCAATATCAACTGAGCAATATCGTCCTGTCTCCAACGAGCAGCCTGGTGAAGGGGGGTCAGTCCAGTCAAATCTTCAATGTTAACATCAGCGCGTCCGGTTTGCAGTATCACTCTTGCCACTTCGAATTGGCCGTATCGGGTAGCGAAGTGAAGGGGTGACATCCCAGCCCTGTCTCTGATATCCACATCTGCATTGTGTTCCAGGAGAAGTTTGACGATCCCACTGTATCTGTAGTTGATAGCCCACATTAGTGGAGTCCAGCCTTCTACATCCTTGAAATTGAGGTTTGTTTCTTTAGCTTCCAGAAGCACCCTCACCACGTGAATATGACCATACTTGGCTGCGGACAATAGAAGCTTTTCCCCTTCCGTACGATTTCCGTTACTAGGAACATTTCCCCGCACAACCAGATTTTTGATTTTCAAATTTCCGCTCGTCACTGCGTACGAGGTTGGTGTTGCTCCCAAGACATCGGGAACGTCAACCCACGCGCCAGCTTCGACCAAGCGGCGAACGACCGACAGGTGTCCATTCCAGATAGCATAGGTAAGTGGCGTTCGCTTATCTGAATCCAACTGGTTGATTTTGGCTCCTCGTCGAAGAACAATTTTCAAGGACCGAGGGCCAATCGATAAGCCACGGATTAGACGTTCCACAACACCCTCGTGGCCATTACCCGCTGCCCAAGACAACGCCGACCTTTGGTAAGTCTCGTCTTTCATGTTCAATTGAGAAGATTCAGTTTTGAGGATGTGTCTCACAACTGGTTCAAGTCCAAAATAAGATCCCACCATCAAAGTTGTGAACCCTGGAACTCGTCGGGCATGCCGATTTCTCCAATAAACTTGGAACCAAGCTAAGAAGCAAGAACCTCGAGCATTACAGATCTCTAGAGCTAAGCTCGTCAATTTTTTCTGATCATGAACTGACAACCGATTGAAATGATTGGCCCAGTGTTTAGCAGCATAGTTGACAAATAAGTTTCTCGAGGTGTGTTTTGAGGGACTTGAATTGGCACTATGCCGCCCTTTCGTCAAGTGGTCCAATTGAAGACACCAGACGCAGACATAGGTGAGGGTCAAGTTAGGATCCTGCACGAGTACTGATTGCTTCCAGCTTAGACTGGTAGGCTCGGCATAGTCTATAGAAATCAGAAACTCTTTAACAGTCTGATGAAGAAGGAATATTCGTGATTCGCTAACAGTGACCAATCCGCAGATGTCTCTAATCTTTTCTCGGAAGCGGTCTTCGGGCTCTATTTCGATATCGTCAATAGACTGGTGATGCTGCTGAAGCTCGAGGGCAACGACCATTTCCCCCACTGTAAGAGGGCGTTCTGCAGCGATGATGAGGTGTAACATCCTGGTTGCCTTGTCTTTGCTAAAAGTTCTGCACAGTATCCTTTCGTAGGCTTCGTTGACGTTTTGAGGGAGATGTGATGTGATGTTGACAATCTTCTCCTTGCTGATGTCAAGCTGGCGCTCGATCAAATCCAATGTCAGATGGGCCCAGAGATATGTTCGATTCCGAACACACAAAAGTTGTGTAATCAGTATCAATTGCTCGTCATCTGTGAGTGCCTGTTGGATACTGATTGTCTTGACTCTTTCCCTTATGGCAATGTCTATTTCTTTGGCAATCTTTCTCATCTCGGAATCGCTCTCGCCGCTGAGATGAATGACTGGCAAGTTCAAGTTCTCTAGTGGCTTGAAGCCCATTCCGATTTCGCGATAAGGTCGACTAGTGATGAGAAACTTTAGGTTCAGGGTTTTCTTGGAACCACAAAGTTCACAGAGCGCCCTAAAGAGCTGACTCCTCTCGTGCTCGTTGCATTCGTCAACTGCATCAATGAGACAGATGATTTCTGTAGCGGGATTGCTATCGGCAACCTTGATGAGAATTTGCCACAGTTCAACAAAGGACGCAGTTAGCCATTGGGCGTTCGCATCAAACTGTAAAAGGATCTCGTCCGATAGTAGCGTAGTATCCAGCATGAAAATTTGCTGAAGGATGCTGCTCAAGGCGCTGAGAAGACTCTTTTGATCGGCGAAATCATCTTTGAAGAAGAAGTAACAGACCTTCCTGGAATCTGTAGTCTGGATAACAGAGTCGACGAGATGTTTGACGAGTACTGATTTGCCGCATCCAGGATCAGCCGAGACCCAGAGAATCTTTGAAGCTTCTTGGCCAAGCCATTCGTGATAAAGATGATGAGAGATAAACCACTCGCAGGTTCCATGGACAGCAGAAGGATTCCGATCCTTCCGGCCACAATATGGAGAAGTTGCGAGGCGCTTCAGAACCTGGGCTTTCCTTTTCTTTCGGGATTGATCCTCTTCGTCGGAAGGTCAGCAAGAAGAATTTGAGGCAAGAACGAAGGAGGTTCCTTACCACTTTCCCCATTCCCACCAACAAAATTTACATCGCCATGAAATTGACTACCGAGGAACTGATTGCCGTTTCCTGTGTTATTGTACTGAATTCCTCCGGAAACATTGAAACTGTTCCCCCAAGTCGATACAGGCGTATCATTTCTTGGGCTGTCATCAACCTTACATGCTCCGACTGTTGCCGTCGTTTGTGTTGCTAGCTTGGTACTGCTTTTCACTGGTTTCCGAATGATGACATCAGGTTTGGGCCTTTCCGTGAAGGGGTCATCTTTAATCAAGACTACACTCGCCATACCTTGCCTGGCATGTCACGTCATGTGCAGCGAGGTAAGGTTGACAGCCATATAGCGAGTGCGGTTGCAGGCAGTCGGTACCTTTTGCTTTCCAAAGGTATTTCTGACGTCTAGGTATGGAACTGCCTCTGGGCGAGGGACGAAGCCTAAATTGCGTTGTGCGTTTATTCTAATTATCAATTACACTAATAAGTAGGAATAACATTGCATCGGTAGATCTCGATGAGCCACAGCATTTCAAACCTTAACAGCTATTAGCATTCAACAAAACCTGTTTTTGTCTTGATATTCGTTTAGCGTCAAGGCCTTTCAGCTGGAATCCTAGAAAGCCTTTGCCCGCTTTCAGAGGCAAGCACTTTGTGCGTTGTCATCGCAGGACGCCTTGCCGTGATAGCATCGATAGCCTGCCTTAGTGCTGTTTGCTGATTGGATCACCAAAGCCTCTTTCAACCCCCCTCCTGCGGTGTGGCACGGCCTCTTGAACAATGGCGAGCCGACAAAAGGAATCTTGAAATGTCTCTATAAAAATAACTACTTGTTAGACGGCAAACCAAAATAGACTGGCCCGTCAAAATTTCCAAAGAACTGATTCCCCGCTCCCGTGTTGTTATGCTGCGTCCCTCCACCCACATTGAAAATGTGCCCAGTTGTCGTTTGGAGGGATGACGTTGCATTTGGCGTTTTTCCATTTGACTCTAGCTCAGCCACAGGGCTGATAGTTGAGTCTCCCGTTCCAAGCATGGCATCCCACCGCACCAACTCCCCCAGTAGTCTCTTGAACCCGCTTTCCTCGGCTGAACCAAACTTGGCTATGTCAGAGTGGTTGGCGTGGATGCTAAAGACACTATAGCCCTCGAGGGAGGCTGATTCTTTGCTGACGATGGTGCCAATTCCAGGCATGGGCAGTTCTTCGAAGAAACAGGCGATTTGCAGAGGCCGACCCTTTTTGTCAAGATCGCGTAGCATTGATAGGAAGGAAGTTTGAATGAATTCGAGATATTGGTTGTTTATCTGTAAAACATCCAATATGTTGCGATTTGTCGATTTGACTTGACCCAATGCCCAAGCCGGTATCTTTGCCCAATCAGCAGCCCACGAGCCACGGTGCGGAGTTCCAAGGAAGGCGATTCCTCTGGTACAGTTGAAAATTTGCCCAAGGTGAGACTCGGTACTCTGGCGGGAGATAATCAAGGCTGTTTTGCAAACAATACCGCCAAAGCTGTGCACAACGAAAATAAGAGGTCGATCGAGTATGCCAGAAGATGCGCGTTCAGCGGCCAGGTCGTGCAGTAGATTATTGGCGTGGTCAATCAGCCGATTCGTTGAAGAAACAGACTTCTTCAAAACGTACGCGTCGTAGCCGTATGTGAGGAGACGAGCTTTGGACAGTCGGGATGGAAGCAATTCGGCAGGCCACGGGTTGGGCTGACCAGGAGCTGTCCAAGTTTTATCGCGATTACCTGACAGACCATGTATATAGCAGATGTCAAATCCGGCGTCCTCAGGACTGTGCCAGATTTTGATACCGTCGGGGAAGTCGTTGCGCGTCGTCTCCGGGGTCGCTACCCTATTGCTCGCTTGGTCAGGTTGATCCATGGTTTGTGGCTTGCGCCATACTTGTCTGAAACTCTTCATCGTTTCGAGGTTGATATTTAGATACTAGTAGTGACGGCCAGTACCGAGTATTTAAACGCTATAGCGCCTGGGGATGTGGCTGATCAACGAGCTACGGAGTTGCTACAGGAGGTTAGGTGCTGAGCCACATTGGAACTTGCATTTCAACATAGCCTCCAAGCACCTTGCCTCTGCATGGTAGCTCATTGACCAACCTCGGTAGCCTCCAATGAGCGATAGCTCCTTACGCTCCTCAGTTGAGAACGTAGATATCTATGCACAATGAGTATAAATTTAGCAGGCAATTAAATCAGTTTTATATTTCTTGGGTTGAAAACTAGCTTTACTTTGATTCCCGTGATGCTATACTCAAAATTCAGTCGTTCAATCTGGCAAAACTCCCAACCCTATAACTAAAAGAACAAAAGCATTCGCAAGCAGGCAACATTGCTAGCTGCAAACCCATCAAAGCTTCTCAACCTATCTCAAATACTTTCACTTCTGGCTGAAGATCTATTCATGCTCTCCCGCTCCTCAGTATTCTCAAACCAAAAACCATCACCTTTCTGATGATACGGCTTAGCACAGTCTTTACAGTAAGGACGGTACTCTCGTCCACACTCCGGGGCTGTCTTGGGAAAAGACTCGATAGCAGCCTCACCACCATGCGTGGGAATATTTACCTTATTGCAAGCCTTACGGCAAATAAAACATTCTAGTAGAGTCTCACAAACCGGGCACTTGCGACAGTCTTCGTAGAGGCTGTGCAATGGGTCGAAAGTCTTGCGGGGCCAGCATGCAGGACACATGATGTGGCCGCAAGGTGCAACAATACCGACTTTGAGTTTTTCATTGGGTGAGGAGATACTTGTTACGTGCAGTTCGTCCCAGCACACGGAACAGATGGCTTTCATAGGTTCAGCCTCTGCATCATCGGCAAGCATGTGCTTCCGGATGTTAGGCCAGAAGCTTTCCTCTACGACATCTTCATCCTCATCAGATTGGGAGCCCCCGATGTACTTTTCCGTTGGAAACAGAGGAACAGGAAGCTCCTTGAGTTTCTGGGCGATGTTCTTCAAGGTATTCATTATGAAATATTCAGTGAGAGGATTCAGCGTATTGATGGTGTTGATGGGGAATTTAGACACGATTTGCTGTTGATTGATGGGTCGGTGATATCTTTCAAGTTAGGAAAGGCGAAAGGGATTATATATGCTATTTAGCAGCGAGGAATATAGCTTGGATGTTCATTTGTTCAACAGGGCATTTTAATATTTCCTTGTGTACTTGATAACTTTCTTTTTGACCTGAAACCTTCTCCTTCTTCAGCAAGTGTTCCAAGTACATTGCATAAAATGGGTTACAATTCCGTTTGGACATTCTGCGATACAGGATGAACATTCAACAGTGTTCAGTTGAGCTCTATGTTCTGTCTGCCATTATCTAAATAATTACTTTTGACTCCGAGTTGCTTTACTCGTACTCGTCATCCACAATGCCCCTGCTATCAAACAAACCTAAACGCACTCCAGATTTCGGCCCTCTGGAACTCTCAAATTCTAGATCAACATAGTTCCACTTGCAGCAGACTCTCTTGTCTCTACGCGATAATCACATATTTCCTAGATCACTCGAATAAGCACGTGCAAAAGGGATAACTGATGGAGTTGTGCAAACCTTTCTCCTCGCTCTAAAGTCAGTATAAAGCGAGTTCCAAATTATCCTCGCGGTACAATCCTCTTCCCCGATTGTCGTTTGTGTACAATTTGGTTGTGCTGCAAGTCGGCCTTCGTCAGGCATAGGCTTCCAGGGCTTTGGTAGCGGCCAATCCGAAAAGTGAATTAGCTTAGCCTCACTATAAACCGCAGCAGGATCCCAAGCTTCAATCTCTGAACCAAGGTAGTGAACATGCTCCTCGTTGCGAAATTCGCCGCTGAGGAGGGCGTAGCGGCGGTGGGGAAAGATCAGAGCGCTATCGCCATAAAGCTGGTTAACAATTTCCATGTCGTATTCGCCAGGCTTTACTGATTTAACTCTTTCCATAATGCGGAAAAGTTCCGTCTCGGAAGGTTGGATGAGCATGAGATGGGATGAGAGGATCTTCTCGGGGGATATCCAGTATGCTCGGGGCATAGCCACTGGTGCAGTGGGTAGGAAGAACAGCTCATCCATATGTTGCAGAAGTGCAGAATCCGAGTCTATGGACAGTACGCGGTCATACTGCGTTTGGTTGAACGCCTGAAGCTTCGTGTACGAGTCCGCCCAAGTTGCTAAAATTGTTAGTACTGTGGTCAAGATAACGAAAGTGTTTCTTACCCTCGCCAGCCCAATGGGTCTGGATAGTAATTGGTACAATCTTAACACTATACTCATCCCGTGCCTTATCAATCAAATAGACGTCGCTTGAGTTTTCCATATCTGGCTCAAGCATGCTTGCGGGGACCATCATGACTCGATCGGCTTGACTGCCAAGACGCTGTAGAGCTTCGAAGAACATGACTGAATTGCAAAGATATTCGCTATTAGTGACATATTGTGTATATGCGAAGCGTGACCAGTCGACACCAAATGAAGTTTGGCGTGATGATTGAAAAGCTGATGAGGCTGTGAAATCTTGGTACTGGTTGAAAAGGGAAAAGAATACAAAGATAGTGAGAACAGCGATGGGCGTCAAACGAGTGCGTTTGGATGCCATGATTGATGATGCAGAGGAAATAACAAGATCTGATGAAGTTGGGTTAAACGAATGCCATTTTTCAGAGGATAGTAACCCTGGGTTGGTATAATGAGTTCAGCTCTTTCACTTTAAGGAGAAGGATGCATAGGCACATATCTTACAAAGCGCCTTTATCAAAGAACAAGGTTTCAATTAAAATTTGACATTTCTAAATTAAAACACCTAAGCACATGAAAGAGCTTAGCAACAGCGCAAAAGTACAAAGGAGCCTGTCAATCACAAACACCATCCATGTTCACATCCTTGACGTCGTGACTGTAGTTGACCATTAGCGCTTGCAGCGGGACATAAAACCGATAAGCGCCAGGTTGACCAATCATCTGGTGGTTCATCAGATCATCAAATGCGAGTGTTCGCTGATCCACTGTTGACCCACTGCGGCCCAGCGCCCTATCACTGTGGAAGATTAGGCGCCGGCGGGTAAAGAGTTTAGTTATGGTTCTTGGGGGCTGTTTCAGGTTGTGCTGTGAAGGGGCGGGATCAGCCGCGTTCTTCGGCTCTTAGCTCGTGCTGTCTGCACCGAGTCGGTATCTAGCTTGGTGAACTGGGCGTAATTTATCTAATCCGCTCTTACTAGAGACTTGAGTAAGAAATGAAAATGCCAATGTAATGTCTTAGAGGCTCCGTGTAACCCTCAAGAATAGCCATT